ATAATTTTTAGATGGGGACTTAAGGGGTAATCAATAAATTGCACTGGAGCTCATTCTCCTGTCATTGCTCACTACATTGACAATTATTTCTCTCTCTCTCTCTCTCTCTCTCTCTCTATATATATATATATATATATATATATATATATATATATATATATATAAGGAAATAAATGGGGAAATAATTGTTTAAAATAATTAAGGGAAGGTATAATAGAGCAAAATTCCAAGAACTTGCAAGTATTATAAAAGGGAGATGAAATGCATTCTGACTGGACATTGAATGTGTGAAATTCGGTGGATGTTATAGTGTGGGAGAATACTGTGGCAATATAAATTAGGGAGAATTGAAGCTCAAGTGTGTCAGAATTCAGTTTTCATGCTGTCTTGTCCCCTTATAATATAGTATATGGCATGTTTGTATCGATGGACCCTTAATGATAATTGTGTTATTTCTATGATCCTAGTCACTTTTTTACTAGCTCCATATTGGTTATTCTAATCAGAAATCTTGCTATTTAAAAATTTACTTTACTATTAATTTTGTGGCGGAGGGTAAAGGGCCAAACAACTCATGCTGTAGACCTATCATGGATCAATTTATCTACATAGTCAGGGAAGAACTTAAAACTGTAGTAAATATGGCTTCAGCAATACAAAAGCCTAAAAAAGAAACTTTAACCTTGATTAAGGGAGGCTATACCCTCAAAACCCATTGGTTTTTCTCTTGCTTTCCAAGTGCACCACAAAATTGCCAACAATACCATCTTCCACTTCATCAAGCCAACCTTTCTTCTCCAAGCTACAGACCTTTTTTCAATGAACTAGGTTTCAAAGTCATGTACGTGCTGGGCGTTCTGATTTCTTTTTATTTTTTATCATTCAAATAACCTCATTGGAGCATGCAGCGTGGCTGTGCGTAGCACTAACAACAAATTGGTTGTATGGTGCAGTGTGATCATTAGTAATCAACTGGACTTGACTTCTTACGTGATTCTCAAATAGCGGCTTTCCCTTCTTTTTTTTTCATAACATCCAAAAGCCTTGCCAGCCTCCTCTTTTTTTTTTTTTTTTTTTTTTTTTTTTTTTTTTTTTTTTGGTCCTGATGCAGGCTAAGGTTTATTTAAAGTCTCAAAAGTGTGTCAGATTTTTCTCATTTGAGTTATGACTTGTGCTTCCTAATTTATGAGAATGAGATACAAATTGTTTTGCAATTCAGTACCTAATTTGTTAAACTGGGCCAAAACAATTCAGTACCTAATTTGTTAAACTGGGCCGAAATTATCAATTTGCTATTGTAGCCGTCTGTTATACTAGCATACTGGTAAGTTTTGATAACATGGCCCCCTTGTTTCTATGCTTCTCCTTTGTTAGTGAGTGTTGCATACAATTCAACTCTGAAAAAAACCCAATTGATATTCTGAATCTCCTTTCAAGGGCCACACTGTCTTTAAACTGGTCGAATGCAGGGTATGGCCTGAACGGTGAGACTGTCACTTAGGACAGCTTATATGACCCTTAGGATAGTTTCTCAATCTTGAAGTAATGGTCAATTGCTTTTATACAGGTCATGTCTAGGATTTATTTTAATAAACGTCTGATGTGCCATCTATTAATGGCTTGTCTTTGCCAACAGAAATATTGGCAGGCAATCTACTGGCTTTAGTAGGTTAGTAACTTGATGTATTCAATTTGGTATAAGTTCTCTATGGTCATACCTACTAACCTATTGACAAAACAGACTCTATCACATGTATGCTCTCTGGAATTTTTTCTGCGAATCCCTATACATAGCCCTTAGGGCTATGTATAGCATTACCCTTTTATTTTAGTATATTTCTGGTATTGTGATGCTTACTTGAGTTTGTATTGTTTTGCATATTCTCATTTCTTGAAAATCAGCCTTTCAAGTACTTAACTACAAATTTGTACTTCCCTTTGAAATAACTTTGACGTATGAAAACATTTGCCAACAATCTATAATCTAAGAAGTAGGGAACTTATATGTCCACATTCATTCCTAATCCCAAAAAAAGGAGAGATATGGAAAATACTTCCTCAGCTTCGTTAATACGTTTAATATTTGAGGGGAAAATTATATTCTTTAGCTATAACTTTCTAAATTTTATGTATTGCAGTTGAAGATGCACTAGCACATCATTACTTGAACTCGCTGCATGACATAAGTGACGAGCCAATATGCATGTCTCCCTTTTGCTTTGATTTTGAGCAACATGCGTTGTCGGAGGAGCAGATGAGGGAATTGATCTATCGCGAGGCTCTTGCATTTAATCCTGAATTTCAACAGGAGTAGAATCTTGGTTAGGGCATTGCAATGGCCAACTTTTTCATATGGTCCTGTCATCTTTCCTTTCTGTACATATAATGTCCTGTCCAGAATTGGATGGATTTGTGTTTTAGAATTTTACTCTGCATAATTCAGGGCATTTATGATGAAAATATTGTTTGTATGAGTGTAATTTTTTTTTTTCTTTTAAATTCTGAGGGCCTTGAATGCTTATAGCTTCTTGTAAACATTGTGTTGGCCATTTGCTTTTTTAATTCTTTTTTCTACCCATTAATTGTACTATATGTTTATTCTGAAAAACAAGGCTAATACAGCCAATTAATCTCAATATTTCCACTATAAGATGAACATACTTGACATATGCTATTCCGTGATGGTTTTATTTCTCCAATGTTGATACTAGATGCTGTGTAATACAATAGGTCACATTTCTTATCAAGATAAGATGAATCAAGGTTGTTTTAATACTAGTAAACGATTGTGTTGTGAAAGATTAATTAAACTTGATTATGGCCTTTTAAGTTTATAGTAGCTTTGCTAGACTTTTATTCTTGTCACCTAAGTTTGGTTAATGAAAATATCTTGCCACTATAAAGTAAATTCCAATAGTTCATTTTTGTTCTAAGTTGAAAGTCTTTGAGGTTTCAAAAAAAAAAAAAAAAAAAAAGGTTGAAAGTCTTTGATTGCATGAAACTGATGAAAGAAGTTGCTTGAATATTGGAGTATTTTTGTACTAAGTTATTAGGCCTATACGTTCCAATTCCATCCAAGATTTATAAAATAAAGAAAAAAAAAATAGTGTGCATTTTTTTAATTGAAATGTGGGGTCATTCAAGTTACGTTTGTACTACAGTAATATTTTTCAAGGGATACATGAGATGTATTTTGCCATGAAGATGAATAGAGTGGAGATTTAGAGGTGATCAAGCTAAAGTGTAACTTTTTAGTTATAATTTATGCTCATCTTGACTTTGTAACACATGAATATTTTTCTCAATTAAAAATCTTCATGTGCTATGTAAAGATGGTTATGGGTCATGTCGAGTCCACATTTTTTGGAGTTGGCTGGGCCCAGCCCATGAGCTACATATCGTATTGAATTTTCAAAAGAATGATTTGTGCCCGACACATGACCACATGCCACCGTGTCATGCTTTTGTGCCTAAACCAAATAACATTGAGTTTAGCGTGCTTTGTTGTTCCCAACACACATAGTAACGTATTGTGTCTTTTTAATGATTGTGCTTTGTTGTTGTTCTTTCTGTCAAATAATGAAGGCTCATGGCCCAACACACACAGTAACGTATTTTGTCTTTTTAATGATGGGTTGTGTCGTGCCTTGGCCTTGACGTGTCCGGGTGCTATCTTCAATGTTACATGACACTCTCATTTTCTTAGTAAATGAGTTTTTGATTTCATGTAATCTCAGTAGGTTTAAAAACAAGGAAAATTATCCATTATTAAAAAAAAAAATTAAAAAAAAAAAGAAGAAAGAAAAGAAAAAAAAAGGAAATATTTATGGAACAAAATTTAAACCTATAATTTAGAGCTTGTTCTTTTAAAATAAATAAAAATAAAAAATAGAGCTCTCCTACTATTAGTAAAAGGAAAATGATAAACATATGTATAAGAAGCTAAAAATGAAGATATTGAGGATAAATCAAGGGGTCGTTTGGTTCACAGAGGGTAATCGGAATGGAATGAACAAAGGGAAAGAATCGGAATGGAATGAAAATCCCCCAAATTTAGGGTGTTGTTTGTTTTGAATAACAAAGGAAACACAGCCACCAGTCCAACCACCACACCACCACCACATTGCTTCACTTCCCACAATTTCCAGCCACCACCCAACCACTCCATCACTCGCCGATCACCGCCTCGCCTCTTCCACCACTCGCCGACCATCGCCGCACCTCCCCCGCCCCTCACCGCCGCTCCTCGCACCCTCACATATCTCCCCTCCCCCGCAAAAACATCCGCTAGGGTTTCGAGGGTGGTGGGAGGGTTGGGAGCGGTTTTATGGGGATAGGAAGGGGGGTGTGGGTTGTTTTTGCGGGGGAGGGGAGGGCGGTGAGGGTCGAAGGAGGGGCAGTGGTGGTCAGGGGAGGGCGGCGGTGCTCAGGGTAAGTGCGGCGGTGGTCAGGTATGCAGGTGGGTTGGTTTTCTGGTGGTGTTGGTAGGTGTGAAGGTGGTGATGTGGTAGTGTGAAGGTGGGTAAGGAATGGGAATGGAAATACCTAGGGGGTGGGGAATGAAGTTAGAGAGATTTGGGGGAATGAAGAGGGTAAAGGGAATGGAAAAAATGGTCTAATAAACAACAACAAAGGGAATGAGGGCAGTGATTCCCATTCCCTTTGATGATTAACCCCAACCAAACCGCTCATAACATTTATCACACCGATATGCGTGTGATTTTATTATGAATTTCCAACATAATTCCATTTTAGAAAGTATATTTAGGGCCTAATCTCATACAATTATTTTTAGTTCAGTTCATTTTCAGCTCCCAATTTCCTCTTATAAAATATTCATTTTAGTTCAGCTCTAATAAGTTCAGTCAATGAGAACAAATCCTTAATGTTTATACATAACCCTAAGGGCTACATATATTATTACTCTTGTTAAAACAACTCTCTTATCGACTGATCTAACTATCTAGTGATTTCAGATAGACAAGTATTAGTATTAGTAAAAAAAAAAAAAAATCAAATTCATACATTACTCGTATCATTTAAACTTTTTAGGAGTAATATATTCTCCTTCAATTAGTAAGATTCCACCCCATAATTTTCTTTTTTTAAAAGTAAAAAGGAAAAAATAAGAAAGAGTTGGGAAGAACCCTAGAATTACCAAACCCTCAATTCTAATCCTCCGCCTCTATCGCCTATCTCCCTTCACTCTTTCTCACTCATCATTCGACGCGGAAGACTACGACGAACTCTTGCGCAGATTCCCAATTCTTCATTGCTACCTCATCAATCCGCTTCCTCTCTCCTCCACTCGATCTCTCTGATTTTTTAAAGGTTGGTAATTTCCCTTCCCAATTAATTTCTCACATTTTTAGTCAAATTTTTTTTTTTTTTTTTTTTGTTTTGATTTGACAAAACTTTTCAATTCTCTGATGGGTTTTATTAGCTGTGATAATGGGTTTGATGGGGTGTATTTATTTTGGTGAAATTTGGTTGATTTGTCAGCAATTAGGGTGAACTTTGATTTAGTTTTAGGGTTGGAAATTTATCGTTTTTAATGCTTTGAATTCATGATTCCATTCTTAGAACTTTTTCAATTCTTTTAACGAGTGTTGGAAATTAGCTAAGATAATGGGGCTTTTTTTTTTTTTTTTTTTTTTTTTTTTTTTTTTTTTTTTGGGTATATAATTAGTTAATATGCCAGCAATTATGGTTAACTTTGATTTATATGATTGGTCATCGTTTGAAATTTATCGTTTTTGATGGTTTGAATTCATGTTTCAATCTTAATTCACCTAATTTCATTAGTTTTTGTAACCTGATTAATCTCGTGTACCTTAAATTGGGATTAAATTTAGTATTCTAGTTCTAGTGTGAAACAATTGATGTTGCAGTAGAATCTTTTTATTTTCTTTGCTTAGGATTGTTTACAATTCAATAACTAATGTGAATCAATAACTAAATGTGGGCTATAGACATTCTTACTTTTTGGACCGATTACTTTTGTATTAGCATATACTTCGCACTGAAACAATTAATATGAAATGTTTTATGTGGTTTTTTCTTAACTTATCCCTTTCCTTTACGAATTGTTAAATAAATATGAGTGACCAAAATCCTATCGGTCTCGACAGATTAAAATACAGAAGTATGTCCTAGATGTAACCATTGTGAGTTTTTTTTTGTAAAGAGTTGAGGGCTCTATTTATTTGCTCAATAATGTCCATTTTAGGAATTTTTAGGGAGGGGAGCTTAGACTACTGTGATCAATATGGCGCGCAAAGGATTGATGGAACAGGACTTGAGCAAGTTGGATGTGACAAAACTACATCCTTTATCACCTGAAGTTATTTCTAGACAAGCTACCATTAACATTGGTAATTCACATCTTAGTTGCAAATGTATTCAGAAAAAGTCTGCGTTGTTCTGCTTACAAATCTGAAACATCCCCTTCACTATATTTGTAGGAACTATTGGTCATGTGGCCCATGGAAAGTCGACAGTTGTGAAGGCTATATCTGGTGTTCAGGTAATTCCCCCCCCCCCCTCTCTCAAGTCTCTATATTTGCACTCTTTGTTTCTGATTTCTCACGTGATAATTGGTGTTTACTGGGAAAGTGCACCTGTCTTTTATTCATTTGAAACCTGTCGATCTATTATGTAATTTGAAACAAGGGATCTTGAGGGGGTATGTCTGATTGCAAGCTTACATGGTTTTGACGGTTGTGATCAAAGATCGGCAATTGTAGCCTGACGATGGTCTTAAAGAAGATGGAACTGATTTCTAGTCACTAAACTGGGTAGTTGTGTTGTCCAATACTTGTCAAAATTGATCAAGCATATATGAACTGATTGTTTGGATTTTGGAAAAGGATTTAAGAACGCGGAAGTTTCAGGGAAGTGTGAAAATTATTATAAGAATGCATAGGTTTTCTGAGGGATTGGGATTATAACCCTTTTTGTATTACAGTGTCTACTCCATCCTGATTTTCCGTCGTCATTACCACATATTTTTACGGTGGTTATTGTGGTAGGAAGCTTCATGGGATCTAAGGTCTTTGCTCTTACTGTAGGGGCGAGTGTTGGAATCGGGAAAGGGTCAGTAGGGGGATTTGCATTAGTGATGAAGGAATGTATTAGCAGGAGTGAGATAATGGATTAATTCTTGTTTTAACTTCAGCATTTTTGAGATTTTATCTGGGGTATATATAGATGTGAAAGGGATTTAGATGCAAGTAGACGGTGGGAGCAAGCTGTGTAATTTGTTCAACTCATTGGTGCATCTCTCTTTACTCCATGAATTGAGGTGGTTTGGGCAACTGCTGGTTATTTGTGTTTGGTTTGGGAATTTTTTTTTTTAATTTATTTATTATATATATATATATGTTTTGTCCTTCAAGATAGCTTATATTATATTGCTTTTATGCAGACTGTACGTTTTAAGAATGAGCTGGAGCGTAATATCACTATCAAGCTTGGTTATGCTAATGCCAAGATTTATAAATGTGATGATGATCGGTGCCCAAGACCTATGTGCTATAAGTATGTTATCTGTTATGCCCTAATGATCAATAGAGTTGAGCTTGTAATTGACAATCATGAATTTGCTAGATTCTTGTGTAAGAGCCAGTAGAGTTTCCTGTTGAAGATGAATGATGTATCTTGTAGCTCACCTATGTGTTGCAATATTGTATTTATGTTGAGTTGTTGACACATTGGCGAAACCTTTGCAGGGCATACGGAAGTGGAAAGGAAGATACCCCTATGTGTGATGTACCTGGATTTGAGAATGCTAGGATGAAGCTTCTGAGACATGTGTCATTTGTTGACTGCCCGGTAATCTCTTGCTGCAGTTAATAGCCTCTTTCTCTATGGAAATCTTTGGGGCGGGCCTGGGCTGTTCTCTCTTTTGTTGCGCCTTTGGTTTCCCTTGGATTTGCCTGGTTTTGATATGCCTTAGAGACTTTTATCTCTATAGACTTAAACCTTTATGGTTTTCATGATTGGCAGATACTTTCTCAGTTTCCGTTGTAGTATTAACTGGTCAAGACATTGCTTACCCAGTAGTCATTATTCAAGTTTATAATTTTGTATAGTTTGATTTAGTGGTAAATTATATTTCATTATCTTTATCTAGAAATCATAGATTTTTTTTTAAAAAAAAAAAAAAACCTAAAAGTCTAAAACCTATATTTTGGCTTAATATGTTGAAGCTTAATGGTAAATCTCTCACCTCTCAACACCCAACCTTAAGTTTAGGAATTTGACTCTCATCTCTCCTAACCTAGCTTGGGTGGCTTGTCTTCTTTCCCAACGATTTTGACTTTGGGTTAGGATTCCTTTGTGAGTTGGGGCCCACACCCTTCCCTAGGATCATGTGGGTCAGTTCATCTAGTATAGCTGATTATGAGAGTGAAAATTTGCTTAGGTGAAAGAGCTAAATTATGGATCTTGATTTCAATGTACTTACTACCTTGCCAATACATTTACTTATTCTCTACATCCTTATGTATACACTTTCTACTATTTGATTTAACACTCTAGTGTCGAGTCCCCCTTTCTCCAATTGATTGTCGTTCATATTGCTATTAAAGAGCAATATATGTCTTTCTTTCTTTTCTTTTCTTTTTTTTTTCTTTTTCTTTTTCTTTTTCTTTTTCTTTTTTAATATTATTTTTACAGAGATATTCTGAATTTTGGTGATTTATGTTTTTGAATTTTTGTTGTGTCAGGGTCATGATATTCTCATGGCTACTATGCTTAATGGAGCTGCTATTATGGATGGAGCTTTACTTCTTATTGCTGCCAATGAGAGCTGTCCCCAACCCCAGACATCTGAGCATCTTGCTGCAATTGAGATCATGCGACTTCAGCATATTATCATCCTCCAAAATAAGGTTGATCTCATCCAAGAAAATGTTGCTATAAACCAGCATGAAGCTATTCAGAAATTTGTTCAGGTAACTTGTTTTGAATAGTCATCCAATTGTTCATGTTCGTTTAATGAAAAGGTGGCAAAGCAGAAGTATGTTTCTGATGGTCCTTGTTTTCTTTAGGGAACTGTTGCTGATGGAGCGCCTGTAGTTCCAATTTCTGCTCAGTTGAAGTACAACATTGATGTTGTTTGTGAATACATTGTCAAAAAGATTCCTATTCCTGAAAGAAACTTTGTCTCACCACCAAATATGATCGTGATCCGGTCTTTTGATGTTAACAAACCCGGATATGAGGTTGATGATATTCGAGGTGGTGTTGCTGGTGGAAGTATTTTAAAGGTTCCGTTCTATCTTTAAGTAGTAAAAATTTCATGGGGTTTGCTGTCGTATCTGCTATTGGCTTGTGCTTCCATTTTGGTATCATTGTTTCTTGAATATGGATGTCGGTGCATTATCAGGACATTTGAAGTATTTGGTGAACTGGTATGCATGTTCATTATCCATTAGGATGGGAATCTAACCATAATCTCTTTTCCTTTTTTGTCCTTTTAAACAGTGGTTCATCTGTTAAGGCATTTTACCTGTGCCTTGCTTTCACAATTTATTGACAATACTGATACAATACTAATATAACTGTTGAGACGCCTGAATTGTGAAAATGTTGAAGTAAAATTTAGTCTTCTGCTGGACTTTATCACTCTAGTTTGTTGCATATTTATGAGATGTGTTATAAAAATCATCTCTGTTGGAGTATACATGCTTTTAAATGACGACCTGATGCTAACCCATATCATTTGCAAATCTTTTTGTTGGAGAATTTGAGAGCTATGTATTTTATTCTTTGATTTGATTTGATTCTACATGGTCTTCTTACTGAAAATGTTTTGCATATCTAAATGGAGGCCTTACAGAAATTAACAATGGTATCGTATTTGTGATACTTTGAGAAATCCTTCATCATATGTGCTTTTGAATGCAGGGTGTTTTAAGGATAAACCAAAATATTGAAGTTCGACCTGGAATTGTTGTTAAGGATGATAGTGGCAACATAAAATGCACACCCATATACTCCAGAATTGTTTCGTTGTTTGCTGAGCAGAATGAGTTGCAATTTGCTGTGCCAGGAGGTCTGATTGGGGTTGGAACAACCATGGATCCCACATTAACCCGAGCTGATAGATTGGTAGGTCAGGTACTTGGTGAGGTTGGATCGCTTCCAGATGTATATGTTGAGCTAGAGGTAATCTTTCTTTTTCCCCATAGCATATGAATTTGTTCATCAATGTTCACTGTGCTTGCTCATTCCATTTATCAAGAATTCTCACGCCTTTTATATCTCTCTCTCTCTCTCTGGTATCTGGAGCTTTCAAGTTATTTGGACATAGAGTTAATACTGAAATTGATATACATAAGCTGTTTTAGCGAGTGATTTCAATTTTAGGGTTTGAGATATCCACCATAAAAATATTTTTTCCTGAAGAAAAGTTTGGATCATAATGTAGGGAAATATATGAAAATAATTTTTTTTACTAACTACTCCCTCTGTTTTTAAATACTTGCTCCATTTCTTTTGGACACGCATACCGATGCTAATCTTTCATCACTAATATCTTTAAGTATCAATAAGTATAAATTCTAACAATTGAAAATTAATAATCTATCCATTGAGATGATTCTAACAAGTACCCACAAGACTTTATTTTTTCGTATGTATAAATCACAAACATTAGTCAAAGTAGAATAAATAAATAGTGCAAAAAGTAGAAATGGAGCAAGTATTTAAAAACGGAGAGAGTTCCTGTTCTAGTTTTTAAATATTTACTAATTGTATACAAATCATATCAAGTATGTTACAATGTGTTAAATATTTGATACTATTGAGAACCTGATATGTGAATGAGATTCCATGTTGGGATTTCTTATAGAGAGGGAATAAGAACATGCACACAACTCTGCCAGCAAGAGTTTGTTGGTTGACTGATTAGATACATTTTTTATCTTCATTTGTTATTGCTGAGGAATTCTCTGCCTCTAAGAATTAGAGTCATGAATGACTCTAATAGCATGCGTTGGTATTTTATCATGATACCAACAACGATCCATATCGATACCAACAAAACATTTTTGCATTTGTTGGTATCACTGAATAAGTATGTTGGTTTCATGATGATACCATCTACACTATAATAAAATACCAACGTGTGCTATTAGAGTCATTCATGACTAATTATTAAAGCTGAGAATTCCTCGTTATTGCTGCTACTGATATGATTACATGTTTTTTTTTTTTTTCATCTAACCAACACTACAAATTGGAAAGTGTATTTTTTTTAAGCATTTTGGTTCTCAGCTTTTTCCCTATGCTACAGGTGAATTTCTTCTTGCTTCGACGGCTGCTTGGTGTGAGAACGAAGGGAACTGAGAAGCAAGGAAAGGTGACAAAATTAACTAAGGCGGAGATTCTTATGTTGAACATTGGGTCCATGTCTACTGGTGCCCGTGTAGTCGCTGTCAAAAATGATTTGGCGAAGTTGCAACTTACATCTCCAGTTTGCACAAGCAAAGGAGAGAAGATCGCTCTGAGTCGGCGGGTTGAAAAGCATTGGCGACTGATTGGGTGGGGACAGATTCAAGCTGGTATCACCCTTGAGATCCCACCCTGCCCCCTGTGAGTTGTGAGGTATAAGAAGTGAGAAAGAGAGACTAGATAGGACTAAGAAGTTCCGGGGAAATGTGGGTTGGGAGAGAACTGTTGGGTACAATTTTTTTGAGATGGAGGAGAAAACCATTTCTCATGCTCGATTTTGGTTTATTTAGTACATGTTTTAAGATATTAATTGCTCCTGATTCTATGAATGTTTTTGTTTTTATGGTTATTAGTTATTACATGAGTTTGTTGTACAATATGGAGGCAATTCCAGTGCAAAAAATTTTCCGTGCAGCTCTCATTCCTTTACTGTCTTAAGTTACTACTCCCTAGTTTAGCTTACTTGCATCTTTTTTTGGTCTTTGCATCCATTTTACATTTGTAAAGCCCCGCGTTATCAAAGTAGTGAAGATAATATTTTAATACTAATAAGGGTTGTCAAATACTTCGTATTGAACTGCTGTTATGGGGGGATAATATATTTACTTTCTTACACCTTTCCTTTGTTGTGCACTTGTGCTTAACAAAATAGCATTAACTTGATCTATTCCCTAAGCCTTGGGTTGAGGGTTGGTCTCGTGTCAAATACTTTAATACTAGCAAGTTATTCAAGGAAGTGATTGGAAAAATACGATCAGACAGTTTTATGCTACATATTTTCTTTAGCTCACAATCAATTTTCAGTTTTATGCTACATATTTTCTTTAGCTCACAATCAATATTCTTGCTACTATACCAGGAAAAAAATAATTAAAATTGCGTCTAATTTGGGTCATGTCAAAACCAAGTCTCAAATTTTCAGGTACAATTTGGTTTTTAGTCCAATAACTTGTGTGTTTTGTGGATTGATCATGCACATATTTGTTCTGTTGATACATCAAACAGAAAATTTCATCACATATAAAAAACAAAATAAAATGACAATTTTCCTACCTCATTAACACAGCCTGTATTGATAGAACATAGAATACCGACCTTCACAATTTAAACAAATTACGCCATCTGCCCGTTTTTGACCCACATGTGCGCACATACACAAATCTGCTCCGAACAAAAAGGCAGAATTACGATTTCATTTGAGTAATGAAAACAAAACTAGGCATCGAGGAAGTAAATTTCATGTATGATTCAATATCCACCCATGAATTAGAAGACTGATGGTATTCTTGACATGCAAAAGAATTTCCTGCTCTCTAAAAATACATAATAGTTACATTATACTAATCACATATTTTGACACCGGAGCAAGAAACCAGAATCTAATAACGAAAATCACTGTTAAATGACACAAAACTAAAATGCTACAAGTTGGAATTGCTCTTTTATTCTGGTTCATGAGCTCTTCACATTGCCAAAAAACCTAGAAAGTGGCAAGGGACCAGCAGCCTCATCATCGGTACTAGAACTTTTGTTTCTAGACCTATGTCTTCTTTCCTTCCTTGTTTTCTTCGACCTAGATTTTGACCTCCTTGACTCTCTCTCTTCTTCATCACTGCTTGAAGACTCAGAAGATGAATCGGAGGAGCTAGAATCTGAAGAATATCTACGTGAGTGCTGCAAAATAGATTCAAATATGATATATTGGTTGTAATATTCCCAATTCCAGCTCATTCCCCCCTCCCCCCCACAAACAAAAAAAAAAAAAAAAAAAAAAAAAAAACACACACACACACACACACACACAACTACTTCACCAACATTTCATAGCTAGATAATCTCCTCCTTCCACCTTAGAGTAAAAAAGATAAAAATGTTATAACAGTGGTAGGGCTCGAAATGTTGATGGGATGGCCAAAAATATATCATAAAAATCATAATAAAGCATGCATAACAGATGTATGGCTATACAATAATAACCCATTTGGTAGACAGCAAGGGGCTCCAAATGTTGGTGAGATAGGCAGAAGCTTTTCACCAAAATCACCAGATAACAATCCATAGGGGATGTTTGGATATGCATTAATGACCGATTTGGTAATCAGTTATGGTAGTGGGGGGTGTGGGTTTGTGTTTTACTTCGCAAGAAAAATCCCAACTCCCACACCAAAAGTCATGGTAATGCAACTGCACTGACATGTATATCTTCATAATCTTGCGTTACCCCTAAAACCTCAACAGCGTTATTGATAACCTCATTATCATTACCATCATTTCTAACTGCTTATCAAACAAGCAAAAAAATCATGATACCAATGAAGTTATGTAGTATTCGAAATCAGAAGTCACACCATCGTTCAATTGCTATGAAATCACTAAAAGGAACCAAAAGAAAAATAAATATACCTTTCTCTTTTTGCTGGAACGTCTTTTTGAGCTCTTATCTTTATCTGTCACAAGAAACAAAAAGCTCCATTATGACAAAGCTACCTAAATGACTAAATCACTTCTTCAATGCAGTTATTTGTGACCCAAATAATTTACCAACTCTATTAATGATTTTTCTTCCACTCCATATAATTTAAAGAACATAAATAAGATAAAGAAATACATGTATATTCATCAGAAAATAGGGAGTTGAGGACCAATCACATTGAACATCGTGCAAAGATTAACCCTGAAAGGACACTACAAATATTTCATAATAAGGAAGCACGGAAGACTACTCTATCCCACAAAGACTCACAATAGGATCTATCATAGAAAATTCTACCAGTATGTTCCATAGGATGGCTCCAATCATGCAGATCAAAGAAAGATTTTCCTCTCCTTGTGTCTCCCAAAGTTAACACGATTGACCAGTGAACACTACCAAAACTTAAAATACACACACCGGTGGCGGTTTTGGATTAAAAATTGTAATGGGACAAGATTTGAACCCTTAACCTCTCGTTCTAAACAAGTAAATCTATATACACTATGGTACACCATTTTAAAGTAAAACAGGGCTATTTAAGTTTAGTAATTAATAACTCAAAAATTATTCAGGGCCCTGATATGCATTGGAGGAACAGCAAATTCTTGGGTCACTGGAGCTGCAGTTTGCCACAATCCATCATGACATGTTAAAATCTTGGTTTTTTTTAGACCTCTGATATAAAAATAAAAACGAGAGAAGAAATAAGACAATGGTTTGGTATAGCAAGTGGTTATCCAAGGAGATAGAAGTATAGAACTAAGTACTCTGAAGTCTCTTGTCAAAAAAAAAAAAGTACTCTGAAATCTGAAAATCCCCTAAACAATAGATTTATTCTCGCAAGTAACAAGCAGGATCAGGAATGACCCCTCTTACTATTATAACTGCTGCTGAGGAGTCAGCCTTTGGACGGGTTTTATCATTCAAAATTATGGTATTGGTGGAGCAAGGTGCCTTCTCATTGTGGAGTGATAATTCTGAAGTCCATCATAGAAAATTTTCAACAATTTATATTTAGGTTGAATCATGAATATGATGAAGTAGATCGCAGTACTGTATCAACGAGACTTTTTGATGTTGGGTCAATTTATGAGCTTCACCAATCCAATTACAAAGCCTCTGTAAAATCACCTCATTGAAATACGCCATACAAAGGTTGTAGTAGCTTGGAATAGTAATATGAGACATTAGAATGTTTCCTCGTGTAGGTTCCCCAACAGCAAGAGCCAAAGAAGATTTAATCTAAATGAAGGAATCACCTTCCAAGATGAAGGTTGAAAATTATGGAGATGATAGGATTCAGTGGTTATAGGAATTCTATCTCTCATTATCTGTGAAATTTTTTTGCCACTCCATGGATGAACATCAATATCTCACTCTCTACAAAAGCTATATAAGAAGATCCCAAGGCTCAGACTGAAACTCACTTTATTTACTTGGGCTGCAATAAATACAAGGTCCCCAAGAATATGTGCTCAAAGGATAAAACTTCACACATCAATAAATTTTCTGCCAAGGTGAAGAGGAATACATTAATCACCTTAAATGCTGGGAGGAGTTAAGCGCATCATCAAAAGCCTCTAAAGTTGGTTGTAGCTTAGTAAACGAGGATGAAGAAAACATATTTGAGAAATATAGTAAGCAAAGGAGTCATCAGAATATTATTCAAGCAAAGTTTCTCCCAAAGATGATGTAAGTTTCTGTAAAATATAAGGTTGGAGCTTGAGTGCTCTTGATGGCATGATTAATTTCACAATTTCTCCCCTTTGGTACCTTACCCTATAGGTCTTAAAAATTCTTCTTCGATTATTAGATCTACAACCAAAAATCTAAACTTTAAGGAATCTGAAGTCAGAAATTTCTTCACTTTTTTTAACCTTTTTGAAGCTTGAAAAAGAATTTGTGTAAAATGCTATGCACAAATCAGATTATTAAAAAAAACATTCGCTCTATAGTCTACACCCCTTTAGGCAGTGTAGAACAAATCAAATAATTTTAGAAAGAATGTTCGTATGTAGAAAATATACTCCCTCTAATCCTTTTTGCTCTTCTTATTTGCCTTTTCACATTATTCAACGCAATCGTGATATTCGGAAAATACACATTGGAACAAATCTAACAAGATCCCACATGAAACTGTTTTCCTTATATATATATATAAGACTATGTTTCCCAAATTCTAGGTATTCTTCCATACCTTTTTTATGTTTTGAGTCTTTTGACTTGCTACTAGAATGGTTTCTTCCTTGAGAAAGCTTCCGTTCTCTTTCTGCATCTAGCTGAAGCCTGTATTCTCTCATCATCCTGTCTTTGTCAGCTTCCTGTTCACCCCTTTTTACTGCTTCCTCCTGGACAGATAAGATAATCAATGAGTCCTAATCATTAACGCAGACATCATAGCAAATGATGTAAACATTAAAACCAGAGAAACTGAGAATTTTTGGAAACAACACAAAAGCAACCACTTGTTATTTTCCTACTGCCTACAGCAACAATCTATTCTCTGGATGTCTGCTATATTTGACTTCATTGGGAAGGGGGTGTTTACAGATGCAAGCATGTCACAAAGGCACTGATAGGGAAATGAAATTAATCACACTAATCTCTCCACATAGTTGCTACTACTCTTGATCCATGCATATTGCAGTCCAAAAAAGGAGCTAGCTAGGAGGTAAACATCTAAACAAAATTTATCATCATTAAGAAATCAAGTGCTTCAGACAAGTATCACCCTTTAAGAGAACAAAATCATGGTCTTTAGATTATAAAGGTTTCAGAAATTCCATGCAGTAAACGTCTATACTACCATAATGTATCTTCAATATAATTTTATTCAAAAGTTGGCTCACAGCCAAACCTGATTCCTGACCCTATACATCATAGCCAAACTTGACTCTTGACTATGTACCTTTCAAGGATAATTGTTTCAGGTCATCCAGTATCAAATAGTTGTATGGACTCAAAGGAACCGAAGCAAGATTGGCATAGATCTATATGTATGCATCACATCAAAAAAAACTATGCAAAGGGCCGACCACTTGGAAATGGCTCACATGGGAGTTTTAAGCAAATGAAGACAAAGAGGGTCCAAACAGAAAACCACAACTTCAGCCTTGTAATATATCAAAGAAAAGAGCAAATTAAAAACAACAGCAACATCCATCCATAGAGAAGTTATGAAATCATCTGATGGTAAAAATAACTATGGTCATCACACCATGCAAACAGACAAATTAAAGATCAGAAGCTCCACAAAAAATTCATAAAGATGTCTAAATTGTTTACTGGTTTTATTACATCTGAATCAGATACTCTGCAGCTGGAAGAAACCATAAAACCATACACTTCCATCAGAAACATTAGAATATTTTTGCCCATCCAATACTCAGCCTTAAGATGATTAAAATGTAGGTTTTAATTTACCAGATAGGATATGCACATCCTAAAGATCTAAGTCACTTCATTAAGCAGCATCATATACATTTTCACTAGTTGATACACAAAGGCTCTAGGAACCCTAATCAACTCATGTTGATCACAGATAATGAATCATAAGAGATTAAAACCATATTCCAGTCAAATGCAGAAATTATTGATGCTAAGAAAAAGTATTAGGATCAGAGTTTGAAAAATAAGGTAAAAAAGAAATGGTCACCTTTTGCTTCATTTTAAACTCTTCCCATGTGACTGTGTGAGAGGTGCTCAAGTTAGCCAAACGAGCAGCATGCCACTCTGGTGTATGAAATGAACCATCCACCTGCGACTGTCCTCATCAATAAAAGTATAGGAAACAAGATAGCCTACAATGCTTATTGTAAATAAGTGTTCATTGATATGCACACGACACAGTCTTAATGCTTGCTTTACACACAGTACAACTTCAACAGTGAAGTACTTAATCTAGAGTATAAAAGATCCATGTTTGATAATCCTAGTTATGATTTTCTAGCCTAACATAGAAACCTGCAATGAAATGGCATTTTCACATAAAAGTAAGGTGCGACGTAAAACATACTCTCAAATTACTGCCCATGCATATTACAAAACAGAATTCCACTCACCCATAATACACTAGGAAATTAGATGATTTAGTTCATTTCATCCACATCCCTTAAACCATGAAACGAAAATATATTATGCTGGCACGTCACCTAGGATAGGAGCATATGACAATAGAGAGAACTCACTCTTCAAAAGTGTTGCTTGGACAGATTAAAACTATATGGTACATATTCGTCAATAAGTTGAGAAAAAGTTTATACTCTTTGTAGACAATCCCTTTTGGGTTAAGATTATATGTCCCATTTTGCGTCTCATATTCTGTGATTGTGTGAGTAGCACCCCACTTCTACCAATTCAAAGTTGGTTACTTACTTAACGTTATTGGTAAATGCAGGTTTTGTTCTTTTCATTTTATTCTTTCTACTTGCTACTTACTCGTGTTAAGATCAGACCAAATCATAATAGACCAGACTAGAGAAATTCAAACCAGACCAGACCAAACCAAACGAAAATTATAAAGATACATTATTCAAATCAAGACCTTAAAGGTTTAGGCCAGAACAGACCACACCAAACCCTTAAAAATTCAAATAAAAAAACTGGGACATAGATTATGTAGCGGAATCAGAACTAATGGGATATCAAAGAAGACATAAGATTATACATAGGCCCCTAATGATTACTTTCAGAGCATCAATTAACTACCTTACTAGCCAAAGCAGCTATAAACTACGCAGCTTATCACTTGAGAAACGACGGTCATCATAAGAGCAGCTTGCTTACTAGAATGCAAGTAGAAGATCAAAATATAACAGTGATCATCAGAGGATGATAACACATGAAATTTCAACAACTTTGGCATACTTGGAAAATATAATACTAGTAAAATAGAGTAAATGAGCTTATCTGACATGAGAAGGGAGATATATCCAGTCAAAAATTGATGCCCACTTGGTAATGCTAATGTCAATATAAATCCACACACTTCTGCTACCATAAAGGCAACACATTTACTGTTATTTGACATTTCTACATCAATCATAACATAAAATTAAAACAGTTCATAGCAAAATAACACATAATCAACCCAAAACAATTTAAAATCTAGCTCACTCAATATGAAAATACCAATTAAATTACCCAGTCAATATTCTAATTACAAAGAATTAGAAGATCAACCAAATTGATAATTAGGTTGAAGAAAAATAACAGGGAAGGGTACAAACCAATCCATCTTCAACCTCGTCTTGAGCACCACTGCTGGACCCCACCCTGGATCTTTGCATAGCTTTGTAAGCTTGATTTTTACCCATTTTGGGAAATACCCAGATGAAAATTTGAGGTGGGGCGAAGAAACAATGATGAAAGAAGAAAAATTTGGGAGGAAACTAAAAACCCAGATGAAGAAAATCGTAGAAATTGAAGATTGTGAACTTGATGGGAGTTTTGAAATCTCAACGGTCAATTGAAATTTGCACAAGATTTAAAGGGGTGAATTTGGTTGGAGCTAGTAGTAGAGCATGTTAATGGATGCGACTTGCGAGGGAAGGAGAGAGAGAGGGAGATCAGAGAGCCAACGGATATTGGAGGGTCAGGACTAAAGACTGACAAAAGGACAAATTTGAGAATGAGGAGGGTGTACTGGCCTCTTAGATGCACTCGTGTTTATTTTACATTCGGGTTTAAATTTTGATTTACGAATGAATATATCAATATATAAAATAAACTAAGGACCGTTTGATTAGGGTTAATCATCTAAGGGAAAGGGAATCAAATGTACTGATTTCCTTTGTTGTTGTTTGTTAGATATATTTTCCCATTTCTTTTTCCCTCCCCATTCCCCTAAATCCTTCTAAGTTGATTCCCCACCCCCCTAGGTATTTCCATTCCCATTCCCTAGCCACCACATCACCACCATACAACCACCCTGATCTACCCACACCAACGGTAAACCAAGCCAGCGCACTTCCCCCACCACTCGGCGCGCTTCGCCGCCTCTCCCCCGCCGCTCGTCGCCCCTCCTTTCCCCCGGAAAAACTTCACCAGCCTCGAAATCCCCTTTTCTCTCCCCGTAAAACCCCCTTCTCTCTCCCCGTAAAACCCCTTCTTTCTCCTCGTAAAACCGTCGCTTGACCCTCCCCCACCCTCGAATCCCTAGCCGCTAGGGTTTACACGGTGGAAGGAGGGTCGCACGATGGTTATATGGGGAGGGAGAAGGGGTTTCTAGGGTTTTTGGGTGAAGTTTTCCGAGGGAGGCAAGGTGTTTGCGGGGGGAGAGGAGGGCGGCGAATCGTGCCGACCGATGGGGGAAGCGCAGCGAACGGTGGTGTGGCTGAAAAACTTGGGAAGTGAAGGAGATAGGTTGTGTGTGGTGGTGATGTGGTGGTTTAATTGGTGGTTTGATTCTCTTTTTTTTTTTTTTAAACAAACAACATACTAAATTTGAGGTATTTCCATTCCATTCTCTTTCTTTCCCTTTGTTCATTCCATTCCGTTTACCCCGTGCGAACCAAGCGGCCCCTAAACTAATTTTTATCTAATTTAAAGAAATTGTAATTCATAATTGTGAGGTTATAAATTTAATCTTATTAGGAATATATGAGGGTAAGGATTCCTTATCTTTCCCCTTAAAATGACTTATCGCGCCTTATTTAATAAGTACGTAACTATTATTTGGGATTGAGGTAATGCTCTGAGTTATTGCATGCTATACATTCAATCCACAACTCAACATTCTCCTAAATTTTTTTTTTTTTCACATTGTCATTCATTAGAGTTTGATATTTCAAAGCAAAAGAGACCATAAATATGTCATAGCAATATAGCATAAGCTATTTTGGGAGACACTTGCGTCTAAGCTCAACAACACCAAGCTTTTCATAGAAGAAGCTACGACTTTTCACATAAGCATTCTTGTCTCTTGAGCACAAGATTATAAACAATCATATTGAGTTGTGGATGTCACCGTAGAACTCCACTACTCATTTTTAAGTCAAGTAATTAAATATCATATGCCTAATTTATTACTAAATTGGTGCTACTAATTTTAGAAACAATTTTGAATTTTAAAAAATAAAAATAGAAAAAATGATGATTATGGATGTCACCATAGAGGCATAGAGCTCCACTATTCATTTGATTAAAACTTTTAAAGTTTAAGTAATTAAATTTCACACGGCTAATTCATGACGAAATTGGTGCTACTATTTTAGAAACCATATTGAATCATACTTATCACCAATAATAAGTATTCGTTGAGCATATTGAGCATACTTCCATGGACATTTAGTCAATCCCATGGCATATTTAACATAGTGAGCATACTAAAAGACAATAATTTTCAACAAATTCCACAATTGAAGTATCTAACATATGTACAGAGAGTCAAATCTAGTAGCAGATTAGACTGCTAACGTTGATAATGAAGTTAACAAATTGTACCTTACATCTTTATCTTTTGATGCATTAGATAACCCTCGTGAGTTGGGTTTCTTAATGTCTTCCTTTTCTTTAATCGAGCGAGCGAATGAGTAAAATGACAAAATTACCCATGAACAAAGTTATAAAACCAAATAATGCGAACTTGCCTATTACTTTCCTCGTTTTCCTCCTTTTAACTTCGAGAGAATTCAAGTTAATCTCTGAGATTGACATGAAAAGTTAATCTCCTCTCACAATATATTGTTTTAGTTTTATTTTTAAAAGGGTAATGCTATACATAGCCCTTAGGGCTATATATAAGCATTGAATTTACTCTTGGAAAATGTATAAAGTTAGGAATGCATGACAAAAACACGCGCAAATCGGTGTAATTAGTGTATTTTTGTCATGATTTTCTAAATTTAAACAATTTTCAAGAGTAAATTAAATGCTTATATGTAGCCCTTAGGGCTATGTATAGCATTTTCCTTTTTAAAATAATAAAAGTGAAATAGTAAAGTGGCACGAAAACAAATGCATAAAATTGTGAGAGGAAATTAACTTGGAGTGTTAATCTCGGAGATTAACTGGGCTCCCTCTTTAACTTCCTCTCCGAATTCTCTCCTCTCTCTCCAATAACATGCACTGAGAATGACAACATTGAGTAGAACTAAGGCCATATTATTGGTATGAAATTATATGATTAATTCGAATTTTTCACATTGTTCAATGTTAAATTTTGATCATGTTGTAGCTTCTTTTGCAATTTCAATACCAATTGCCTCGATAATCTGTGATTTCTTATTTATTTTCACGTATAATTTTCTAATTTTCTGGATATCGTCTAATTCATGTAATTGATTTTGTAAAGTTTAGGGTTAAGCAGGAGTAATTATTGGGATATAATTAGTTTATTGGGGAAAATTGAATTGTTGGGTTGTGCTTGATTTTGGAGATTACCCGGCATGCTTTCAGTGTTGCAGAACATGAGTGAAAAATTATGGTTGTGCATTGTTACCCTCTCTTTGCAACCTTTAGATGAACGATTTTGGGTTTTATGTCCACATAATGCGAGATTATTTAGGCCTGGCTTTGTTTTCCGATAAGTTCAGATAAGATAAATAATTCGAATATAAGTTCGAATAAGGGTTGATGAAGGGTACTTAATACAATTTACAACTAAAATTGGTTTTAATAAGTTAAGATAAGTGAAATTCAGGTGAATAGAACACAACCTTACTCTAATGTGGGATGCTTTGACTGGAATGTTTGCTGTTTATTGATCACTGAATGATTTATATTGGATGGTGGTTGTGTGTAATTGAATGCTCGAACATAGATTAGTTCTTCATCCTGTTGGGCAGGGGGTGCTATAAGGATTCTTAGCGAGTTTCTTAGTGGGTTGTTATATACTGAAGAGAGCGTGTTTGGAAATTGAAGTATACATTAGTTACTTTATGTCTCATAAAAGAATGGTAAGTGTAAAGAAGATCGATTCTCTAGGGGTGAGAGTGTTTGGAAATGATAGAAAAACTAAATTTGTTCAATTTGAAAAGTTTTTAATTGCTTTTGGAGGTTTATTTTATCAATTTGAGCGTTCTATTCTCTTTGTTTCTACTTAGTTTTTGTGGTTTAATAATTTATTGATATATGACATAGATATTCAACTATTTTGTTCATGCTGGCTGTTGAGAGAATTGTGTCATGGACTTGAACTCTTCTCCACCACTTAAAGACGATGAAGAGTTTTTCAAAAATCATTTGGAGGAAGATGGAGCACTACAGGATATCAAAGAGACATCTGTTCAAATCCTTCGGCGGGTATGCTATACATCATCTCAATAGCTATGCTGGACCTATGAATTGGTTTTCTTATAAGCACCGTCTTCACAGAAGAGTATCATATCTGGATCATGTGTTTTCTATTTCATTTTTGTATATTTTTTGGAAATGGTTTGAGGAATGAACCGCCACATGATAAATGCTTGTTATGGTAACTATGTGCCTTGAAGTTGATGCATGTTTGAAAGAAAGTTATTCAGCCTTTCCAAATATTGAAAAAGGGTTTTAGAATCTTACAAGCTAACACTATCATAGTATCATATGACATGCTTCACTAAATGTTGTGGAATTAAGGCAGCAGGAAAATGTGAAGCTTTATTGATATGGAATTTTGCTCTTCCGTGTACCATTGGATACACTTGATTTATCATTGTATCCTTGTTAACATAATTTCAAAAATTTGGTACTACAACATGTGAATTGCTGAGATAAGGTGGTTATGGGTACTTATGGCAAGGTGTCTTATAAAAGTAGGGTAAGATCAAATGGTGCCCAAAGAACATATCTGTGGCATTTGATGGTGGGGTAGAATTTTATGAGACAAATTTCTGATTTGTTAATTTAAAGAATGATCCATACAACAGATATGAGAAGGAGATGTTAATATAACTTTCCAGCTGTAGAAATTAATTTCAGGGGCATGGAGGCATTTGTAAAAAAATTAAAGAGTAGCAGTTATATTTTTGTCAATAGCCAATTTGGTTTTTATTGACTATGTGATTATGGGGATTGAGGAACCGGTCTTCCTGGCTCTTAATTTCATTGTTATTGCTGTTTGTTTTTCCAAATATTGGCTATTTGGAAGGGAAGACTTTGTAGTGTATACATATTGTTTTCCTTATGGCTGTCTTTAAAAATCTTGACTGGACAGGTCTGGTTGTTGTATAATCCCTATTTTTGTCTGTATCTTGAAGCTTTATACATAGTTTTCAGCTCTTTTATGTTTTGGAACTTTGTTTTCACCTTACCTTTTTATTTTTTTATTTTTTACTCTCTTCCTAACAGGGAATAATTAGAGCTTATAGCTACTTAAAATTTCAAAACTTTTTTTGTAAAATTTGTCTACTCTTTGATTACAAGTAGTAGCATTTTAATGGTCTTTTGCACTAAGATAATTCCTCATGCTACCTCAGGACATTAACCAGAATTTGAAGCATGGACAGATTGTGCTAAATGTAATCTGAATTTTGGATGATGCTGTATTTCTGTTTAATGTCTCTTGCAGGCGGATCGGTTGATTCAGTGCTATTGAATATTATTTAATTTATTTTTTTTAATTATCTTAGCACAAAAGACCATTAAAATAATACTACTTGGTTTTTCTGATCTCTATATAAATTGGTCTTATTATAGGAGCGTGAAGAAAGACGGGAGCGATTGAGAAGAAATCTGATAAACAATAGACCAGTTCTAACTGAGCCCTCTGTCTGTGATGAAGGGCCTTACTCAAAGAAGTTGAAATATGATTCACACAGGCTTCCCCCTGGTAGATTTCACATCGAACTTTTAGCATAGAAATTTGTTTGTATGCATACAAAAAATACCTGTTTGGAGTTAACTATTGATAAAGTTCCAAGTTTTGCAAAATTTTTGAAGCCATTTTATCAAAGAGTGTGTCTAATGCAGCATGTAGTCGCCATGCAGCTTGCAAAACGGAAATGGAATGCAGTTTAAGTGAGCCTAGATCTTTTGGCTGGTGGACTTTTTACTTTATAGTTGAAACTCTTGGAAGTAGTGTTGTTTTTTGAAAACTGTTGCTGGTTCAAAGCTTGGATTTTGTCATTCAAGACTAGTTGTAGATGTTTTGGTGGACATTGGACACAACTCTTTTTTTTAAGAGTTATGTGATGAAATTTAAAATCTAGGATACATCTACAGCCAATTTGGCACTTTATTTTTTTGGGAGCCATTGGCTTTATTTTTTGTTGGATGGTTCCTTATGACGATTCATGTTAGCCGACCTCAAATCGTTTTGGGACCAAGTCTTTGTTGTTGTTGTTGCTGCTGTATTGGCTGTATGTCTTGTCTAAGCTATATAGGACTAAAAAACTCTAAAGCGTGCTTATTTGCTTGTGTTAGAGATTGGGTTATAGATAGTAGTCCAAATGAGGATATTGAGCGTGTGTGTTTGGGTCTGTTTGGTTCATGTAGTCTGCTTTTCACTCTTAGTCTTTTATTTTTATTATTCTAACCTCATTTGAACCATGTATTTTGTGTATAGGTTGGCTGGATTGTCCGAATTTTGGTCATGAAATTGGCTTTCTTATTCCTTCGAAAGTTCCGCTTAACGAATCTTTTAATGACTACATTGTTGATAAGAAACGGTATTCCTTTCGGAATGTGCTAAGGTTGCTTGGCCACGAGGTAAACATTGTAAAACTATATTACATCTTTTTTGTTTTTCTTTTTTTGATGGGGATGGAAGAGGGTCTTATTTGCGTGGTTGGTGAAATATTTTACTTAGTATGGGTTATTAGTTGCATTGATTTTTGTCTTTATTTAGTAGTAGGCCATGTTCCCTTGAAATTCTTTATTTTGATGTTTTGAGGCAAAAAAGTACTATTGCACTAATATTTTTTTTTCTACTATAAACTACAAAATGTTTTGTCAGCTGTGATTTTGGGTCGTGATTATAGCATTGGCACTATAATATTTCATAGAGGAAATTGTAGTGTGATGATATACTCTTGGGAATAATGGATTTTTGAAGTGTGTAGAAGCAAGGGCAGTACCCAAAATTGAAAGAAGCAAACTAAATCTGCAAAGGGAAAATTAAAGAGCAACTGAAAAAGAGAGACATAGTAACAATTGAACCTAAGACCGGGAACATCCCACCAGATAATTAAGTTAAACCTTTTCCATTGATGCAAAGACTATTAGTACATGCACTTTATTCTTTTAAATGTTATTATAAGCTTTGTAGGGGCTAACACCCTCTTGCCCATGTGTAGAAGAAGGAATTATTTTGTTAAAAAGTTCTTCTATGTAAGTAGTGGAGTCGGCTAAGATTCTAAAAGAATGAGCTCCTCCTTTGCATCCATCTCATTCTCTGGCACGCAAGGGAAGCCACGTCTCTCAAGCACCTTGCTAGATCCGATTCTAGCAATAAACATTATATATTCCTTGTATTAATTCATAGATCATATCCAAAGTAGTAAGAACTATAGAAAAATGAATTTAGTTACTTGATTATTATGAAATTACGAGAAAGGCTGATTACAAAATGAGTTATAAGGGACCAATTCACTTTGTTGAGAATTGATTAAGAGAAAGAATTACATGATACATCTTTTGCTTGAAAGCCTTAATCCCATAAGTGGGATCATCTACATGAACCAACATGAGGACTTCCCAAGAGGTCACCATCCTAGTGCTACTCTCAATCATGGTGGCTCATGTCAAGCGATGTGACAAAGTTTTACACTGTTGTCACTGGCCTATCGTAACCCATCTCCTTTATCCAGGCTTGGGACTGACAGCGGGAAACCCATTGGGAGAGTTAATTACATGATACTATTACGAAATATATTTTATTTTTTGGTTTACAAACCCTAATTCTAGGAAAGCATAGGATGTGTGCGAGATGGTTGTTTAAGATGAAGTTTAAAGTGATTGGGGATGTGTGCCAATTATAAATAGAGAAAGGGTTGTAGACTTGGAGGGATTGGGATGGGGGTTATAGAGAAGAGAATTAAAGAATATGATGGGGAGTTTGGCAATAAATTTATGATGGTTGTAAGGAGGTGCTCTTGACTATGAGAGTGTGGCGTGAGTTGGTGATGACGAATTGCTTTAGTAGAAATGATTGGGAAAAGAGGAAGTCTGTTTGAGGTGAGGGCTTGGTGTTGGGATGTTTGATTTGTGATGGCGGTGTTGTGTGAGTTGAGGTGAAGATAGGGTGTGGACTAGTGGAGTGAATATTATATCATGCACCACAGCGCTAGGGACCATAATCCACATTGTGGCCCCAAATGAAAATATAGTTTAAATATACAAATATTTAGTTAATTAATTACGAACATTTAGCTTCTAGAATATGAATGTTTACTTTTTACATCTAATAAACTTATGAACGTTTAGTTCATAATTGCATATATTATGAACTTATATTTTAGAGACTACTAGATTTAGTAATTTTGTATTTGTTTTGTTTTTTACTTTAACAATGAAAATGAACATATAGCTCAAAATCTATATACAAAGCTTATGAGCTCACAATCTTTGAATTATATGCTCAATATGTTAGAACTATTTTTCGTTTGAGACCACATCCCAGGTGCAACATATAATAACTGGGGAATGGTGGTTGTGAGGTGGTGTGGAAGATAGAAAAGTAGCGTTTAGGAAGTGAAAGAAGGTTTTTGAGAAAGGGAGACAGAGTGCTGTGATGGAATTTAGATTAAGGAGTGAAATGAGAGAGGAAGGTCTCATTTTTGAACGATAGAGTAATCTCAAGGTAGTATAAGGTTATTTGGGGGAGTTATTAGCTTTTCCATTAATTCTCTAGGCTACGTTGGATTATAATGCTTATTTTAATGCTATTTCTTAGGTTTTCTAAAAAGTTAAATTTATTTTCTCATACAAGATCTGCTTTCTGATGTTGTAATACAGGTTTTCTATGGGTTTAGTAATAGTTTTCCTGATGGTCTTTGACTACTAGGGGTGAGGCTGTATACGTTTAGACCTCCCCATGGATTAGTTTGCGGTTGTTATTGTATATTTTGCTTTGGCAAGCTGGATAGAGAAACCTTCAATCCTTTGTTGGACCTAACTGTATAATCTGGATACCATTGTAAATTGGAATTTAAGTAGGTGGGTCAGTTGAATGTTATTTTCCACAAACGGTTGTGTAAATTGAAGAATAAAGTAAATGCTTGTACTCTTTGCGGGGTTTGAATTGTGAAGGTTATTGCCTTTTTCAGCTTGGTATGGTGGTTGATTTGACAAATACAGATCGTTATTATCAAATGACTGAGGTTAGGGGTCTTAAGTATTTGAAGGTACTTACTACCCATTTAGTAATTTCAATCTTCTTTTTCTTTTCTCAAGTAATTAACATGAAACAGTATATGAGTGGCTGAATGCATCCTATTCTGTCTATTTATTGCAGATTCGGTGTCAGGGACGTCATGCTATACCCGATAACGAGTCTGTAAACAAATTTGTCTTTGTGGTAAGCTTACTTTTCTGTCATTTATACAATGTAATGCTATTTCCTATAAAAGTGATGAAATTTTTTTCCTTTTATTTTTTATTGTGGTATGAAACATGTTGGATCCATTAGCATGAGATTTGTTGTCAACTTCATTCTACTTTCTCTAAGAGTCATCTTTTTTGACATAACAAAATGTGGCTGTGATTTTTGATGGTATTAAGGGTTTTTCTAATGGTTATTGGCAGTGTGAAGCTGCATGGGTAGGTGGGAGCTTGAGACTAAAGTGGTCAATGATTTTGGGTGAATGCAAGGGAAGGGGGAAAGGAGCTGGTGTGAATGTAGGTCAGGGGTGTGGTGGTTTGCCAAGCATACGAGGGAGGTGAGTTAAGATATTTATGTAATTAGATTAATTATGTTGATTTAAAAAGACTTATAAGATTATAATGGGTAATTTAACCTTCTGTTTTTTGTTTTTTTAATTATTATTTTTTAAAAAAAATTATTTATTTATTTATTTATTTTTAAAACTGCTTTAAACAACAAAATAGAAGTGTTGAAATTATATCAAGACATTACTTATCAAAGAAAAGTGTCGCAATTATATACTGTGAATTGAAAAGATGAATTGTATAAGCGAATTGTTTTTTTTTTTTTTTTTTTTTTTTTTTTTTTTTTTTTTGTGTGTGTGTGTGTGTGCACGCTTTCACATAATAGGTAGCAAATTGCAAATCTGTACCAAATATCAGATTAGCGAATTTTGTAATCTTGTAGATTTTGTGAAAGTTGCATTTGTTATGATGGATGTGTGGGAATACCTTGAGGGATAACGTTAGGAATGTAGATATTTGAAGAAGTTAGAGTTACGGATATTGAGGATATGATAAGGCAGAACTGGCCACATTGGTTTGTGCATGTGAGACATTGACCAGAAGATGTATCAGTAACGAAGGTACAGAATTAGGATGATGAAGATTTTAAAAGGAGACGAGGGAGGTCAAAGATGACTTGGATAGAGGAGTTAGCAATGACATAAAGAAAGTGGATTTGCAGGAGCGTGAAGTATTAAATGGAATGGAATGGAACGGAATAAGGAGGATCTTTGTGGATGACCATGAGTGATAGATGATTCATGCAGTCGATCCCATCCCTTTTAGGTATAAGGCTATGATTTTGTTGTTTTTGTTGTTGTTGCACTCAATATGAATTGGATGAAGTAAATATATCCAAGCTTAGCTCTTTTGATTGTTTGCATGTATATGACCTTGACTTAAATGATAGGTTGCACAATTCATATATAATCAAAGTGAGAGGCAGCCCAGAAAATATGTTTCCGTCCATTGTACTCATGGCCACAATCGGACTGGTTACATGATAGTTCACTATCTGATGCGGACTCAGCAAGCCAGTTCGGTGACCGAGGTCAGTTATATTTTTGGTTTCAATTGGTCATTGCTTGAATAATGTCTTTTGAGTTTCGATGACACTCTTAAGTTAATTCAATCCTTTGGTTCATTTGGGCAGGCTATACAAACTTTTGCAAAAAGTCGGCCTCCAGGGATCTACAAAGAAGACTATATTAATGCATTATATGATTTTTATCATGAAACTAAACCTGACTTAGCCGTGTGCCCGTCTACTCCAGAGTGGAAGAGGTCTGCTGATGTCTTTCAAAATAGTGGCGCTCTACCAGATGATGACGATGGTGTTTCAAATGCTTCCATCATGGTAAGAGATCATTTTCCTGTTTTCTCCTTTCATGTACTTAGTAACCCTCGTTCAAGATTTGAGGGGGTCCAAAATAGCGTATATGAATTTAAATCTCATTTTCATCTTCCCCCTGGAAAGGCTTAAATTTCCTAGTTGATTTATGGCTGAAATTTACGATAAATATGAGGCACAGCTAGATAGATTGAAGTTTCAATTGTAAATTCATGGTTGAGCTTGGGTCAGACTTGCTGGACGGTAGATTTAGCTCCTGAGTTTTTTCTTAACCTATGCCTTTGGTTTTTGAATTTTTTTTTGCTGGATAGTAATCATGTCACCTTGCTAACTTGCAAGTTCCCCACCTCATCCTCGTGTTCAACATATGTAATAACACTTCAGCAGTATGGAAACTAAAATCCTACGTTACTTTCTGCTGTCTATATGTTTAATTCTGGTTTTGCTTTTATTTTTTTTTTAAAAAAAAGGGTTTTTAGTACGTCATATAAATTGCATTATTTTCCGCATTCTGCTACAGGGAAAACATGAGAACAATGTAAGGATGACCAATGATGATGTCTTGGGAGATAAATTACCTGATCAACAAGAATTCCACTTGCGAAGGTTTTGCTATGACATGCTTAAACCCCCAGGGGTATGTGTATTTTGTTGAAGTCTCTATTAGTTGATTAAGTTTGGAGGATTTGCCTGTTAATATATATCGGTGAATAAATTTTCTCTTTCCATTCACAACTTTCAACCCATTTAATTGTTTGTATCAGTGGCTCAATTTTTTGTCCCTATTCTCTAAAGGGCAAATATTTTAGCTAGATAGTTTGCTACTTATACATAGTTAATACAATGTATCTTATTTTTTGTATTCTTTGTACCAATGTGTTCTCTTGATCTGAATCACCTTTCTTGTAGAATCCTTTCGTTTCATTTTACTGACATATCTACCTTGCCTGTGCCTTTTGCTGTTTTGCCTTGTTTGTTTGAAAAGTTGAGGTTTACTAATAAGCGATGGCTTTCAAATGGACTTCTCTGCATTACAACAAATTTGTTGCGGATACCATGGCTTATGATTGTTAGCCTTTTGCTGTGTACTTTTGATCAAGGGTTAGATAGGTCGTTAAGCTACTACCCTAATCAAATTAATCATTTATAATACCTAAACCTACACTAAACTAGTTAGTGGCAAGTAAAGGGTCGAACCACTAGGGAAACACACTAATTCAACATTAATAATCACTAATGCAAGAGTAAAAAGGGGATTGTTTTTGTTGGTTTTGTTGAGTAAGAATACTAAAATTACAAATAAGCAAGAAAATGATGATTAAAATCAAGGGAAAATGACGCTAGGGATATGGGGGTGTCCAATATGATTAGAAAGAGGGGAATAATGGTGATTATCATGAAACTCATGCCAAAGAACACAAGATTCTACCTAAACAATTCATTCTCATGCAATAGTCTAGGCAAATCAATGAAAGAGGTCTACACTAATAAGGATCATTCTCATGCATCCTATTAGTTACAATCAAATCAAAAGAATAAAGAAGCACAATCTATAAAAACTCCACTTTAATAACTCATTCTCATGCAATCATTAAAATAGAGATGATCTTAATCTAGTTCAAATCACTTTCATGCATTTAAACTAGAAAACATCAAATAGAGTGCAACAATAATCTCAAGCTATTAAAAATCATGTCTTTCATCAATTTATGCATAAGTTCAATCCAACCATCATCATTCATCCAATATCAACTCATATCTTCCACCCCCTTCCCCTAGCTAAAAGTTTAGCCTAGAGAAGGGAGATTAAACATAATATCAAAACTAGAAATAAACTCAAGAAACTCAAAACAAAACATGATTAAAATCAATGAAATCAATAACAACTAGATGAACTAATAAGATTAACTAGAATAAGCAACAATAAAACAAATAAATAATACTAAAGGAAAGGAGAAGAGATTACTAAAGAAAGGATTAATGAAAGATGAAAATTTGGATTCTTGCTTGATTGATTGAAGATTAAAACTTGAGTAAAGTTGAATACATTAAAGGATGCTTGAATAACAATCTACTTTCTCTCTCTAGATTAGGCTAATATTCTATGGAATTAGTACTAAATGTCCTCTATTACAAAGAGTCCTGTCTATATATATGTGGCTCCCCCAAAAGAAAGAAACTTGGGCAACAAGGCGCAAAGAAATCAGAAACCCAGCGGTGCGCGCCCGCACACTAAATATGCGCGCCCGCGCAGTAGAAGTGTGCGCCCTCTCAGCATAGTGAGGGTACGGGGAAATCAAGCGTGCCCGCACAGTAAACCTGCGCGCCTGCATAGAAGCCGCACAATAGGTCGCGCAAACTCTCTGGTTTGGCTCTGTTTCTTCAGCCTGGCTGCGCGAGTTCTTGACAAGGCTGCGCGCTCGCACAGCCAAGGGTGCGCGCCCGCGCAATAGCCGCACATCATCCCGCGCAGAACAGTTTGCTTGGCTCCTTGAAATCCTCTTTCTTTCGGCACAAAATACCTACAAAACAAAAGCATGGAAATCAAAATAAAGAGAAGGCGAAAAGACTAAGAAAAGGGAAGGTAAAGGAGAAACGAAAGGAGGAAACAAAACTAGGTAAAAATGCTTAGAAAAAGGGCCAAACAAGTGCAAATGAGGGGAGAATCCTTAGAGAAACAAGATAAAAGAGTGTCATAAATTCCACTTATCAAAATCCCCCACACTTGCCTCTTGCTTGTCCTCAAGCAAGGAAAACTGGAACAAAAAGATAAACACAACAAACATAACATGACAAGGTTTTAGCAAAACCAATCAAGCCTCAAGGTAATGAAATGCTCCATTTGGACTCACATGCAAATAAATGCACCAAAGAATACTTATATTTCTCAATTCAAAGAGGGAAAACACGTTCCAAGATGCTCAAGGTTGAAAAAGACAAACCTAAGCTAAGCATAGAGAACTAATGATTTCATTCTCCGCCCTAGCCCCAACCAAGACGGTCCGCGTTCTCTCCACTAGCTTTAATTCATCCCTTTAGCTAGCTCCTCATGATTCCTCGATGGAACCGGAAAAAGAAATTTTTATGTGGAACCATAAGGTCATCCCGACATTTCAACTATGCATACTCTCTCCATAGGGTTTAAATCTATCTCCCTCGATGGGGCCTTTCGTTTCTTCATGTGGGAATCTATATATCTTGGTAGCGGTTGATTATGTGACGAAATGGATTGAAGCCATACCCTCACCTACCAATGATCATAAGATTGTGCTTAAGTTTCTAAAGAAGATCATTTTTCCTAGGTTTGGGGTTCCGAGGGTGCTAATTAGTGATGGAGGCTCCCATTTTGCCAAAAAGCAATTTGAAGCTCTTCTCAAGAGGTATGGCGTTCATCACAAGGTTGGATTACCTTACCACCCTCAACTCAAGGAAAAGTGGAGGTCTCGAATCGTGAAATCAAAAATCTTCTCGAAAGGATGGTGAACAAATCAAGGAAAGATTGGTCTCTCAAATTTGATGACACACTATGGGCTCTTAGGACGGCGTACAAGACTCCAATCGGCACGACCTCCTATAGGTTGGTCTATGGAAAGGCTTGTCACTTGCCGGTTGAGTTAGAATACAAGGCTTGGTGGGCCATCAAAGAGCTTAATATGGATTTATCGTTGGCCGGTGAGAAGAGATTGCTTAAGCTCAATGAACTTGAAGAGCTTAGAGATGATGCTTATGAGAGCTCAAGGTTATATAAGGAGAAGACCAAAAAGTGGCATGACCAACATATTCGAAACAAGAGCTTTAAGGTTGGAGACAAGGTTTTGCTTTTCAACTCAAGGCTTCGTTTGTTTCCGGGTAAACTCAAATCAAAGTGGTCGGGTCCTTTTGTGATATCAAAGACTACTCCTTATGGCTCCTTTGAGTTAGGTGCGGATGGTAACAAGTTTATGGTTAATGGTCATCGTTTAAAGCATTACTTTTTGCAAGTGATATCTTTTGGTTTGGTTTCGAGGTCACTATGGTTGGCCTCCGGGTTTCACCGGTTGTTGGGACCCACACGGCATCCCTCCGGACGGTTTCTCTTACGACACCGAGGATGATGGAGATGATGACGAAGCCGGCCCTAGTGGCCACTAGCCCCCCTTGTTCTTTATTTCTCCCCTTTGCCCCCTCCTAATGTTTTAATTTGGCGCACCGCGGACGGTGCATTGTTTTAGTGTGGTGGGGTGTGTAAGAAGCAAAGAGATGTTTTTTTTATAGTGTGGGGGAAGGCTTATCATCATGCTAGTGTGGGGGGGACTTCATTGTAGGTGGTAGAGCTTACATGGTTCGGTTGGCTTTATCATGTTTTGATGTTGATTTATTTTCTTGATTGTGATGATGTTGTTGTTATTGTTGTTGTTGCTGATGTTGTTGTTGTTGTTGCTGCTGCTGATCGACTACCATATTCCTTGCGCCACCCAAAGCAGTGGGTAACACACCATTGTCTCGCTGAATTTTCCATACATTCCTAACGTTCCGCTCCAAGGATGTACGGCTGGGGTAAGGCAAGATACAATGGTGCTCGTGCTCAACAATCTAAGCATGAAAGTTGTTGGCATCTGAAGTTCCTTGGAGGAACCCCGACCTTCTCATTTGTTGTATGTCAATGAATAAATCCTTGTCGGCCCCAATTTGAGTGCATAAGGGGAAGAAGCGTTCATAGTTAAGCTTCTTGGCAATCCTTGTGATCATCCCACCAAGGGCAATTTCTCCCGTCTTGTGACCCGACTTGATTACCTCGCAGCACATGACGAACCAGTACCCCATGTTGAGCCGCCCTCTCAACTCCTCCCCAGTAGCAACCCACAAAGTAAAGAGCTCTTCATGCGAGAGCTTACTCAAGTCTTGCTTGCTAAACACCGCATACCCCAGAATGCGGTGAAGGATACTCAAGTCTTGCTTGCTAAACACCGAATACCTAGTGTTGAACTCTTCAAAATCGGTAATCGTTTGCCACCATCGAAATGCATCGTACTCTGGGAATAGGCTCAATGAAGGAGCAAGGAGGTCCGCCTCGGGGTTCAAATCCAACAATGTATTGAGATCACTAAGAGTCATAGTGTGCTGGTTGTTGAATAGTTGGAAGGAAATTTGGAAGTCGTTGTTCCCATAAGGCTCTTTTTCAAATGAGGCCAAGAATTCGAAGGTGGGCTCTTTATATGTTCGAAATTGATGCTTGATGAACTCATTCATCCCTAAGTTGTCAAGGAGCGACCTTATGTCATCGTTAATCCCCAAAGCTCTCATGGAGCGTTGATCATAGTGTCTCGTGGGATTTAGCTTTCGTCCTTGAAGGTCATTAAAGAAAGTAGCATGGACCTTGTTCAAGAATTTCAATCGAGGGGCAACATTTGGTCCTTGAGCTTGAGTTTGAGTACTCGGTTCCTCAACCCTTAATCGGGGCTCCTTTCTACTCTTCCTTTTGCTCATTGTGGCCTCAAGCAATACAAACAACCAAACCAAAAGATAACTCCCTTCGAGCTCAACCAATAATTGAAACACAACAACAACAACCCAAGCCTTAACAATTTGCAAAAAGGTTAGTACCAACAACTAACCACACAAATATAGCTCCAAAAACAACTAGAATCAACAACGAAGCACTAAATCACAATACATTATGATAATAAGCAATTTTCATGAAAATAGTTGCATTATCATCAATACTAACACAAAATTGCTCAACTTAATTCCATGACAATAGCTTCCAAATCAATAATGTTAACAACAATGTCCCAAAATCACTAAATATCACACTAACAACCAACAAATCCTTAGCGAAGAAAATCAAAATCACATGAAACTCACTCAAGCTAAACCATGCTTAATAACTACAAATTTTGCATAAACAAGTGAAACTAAGCAATAAAATAGCAAAATTTAGAGTTATACCACTTAGTAGAACTTGAACTCCACTAAGAACCCCCAAGAACACCACCTTCAACTAAGCTTGCACACCATAAAAATGGAGGATTTTTGGGTATTTTGGAGAGAGAAAGTGGGTAAATTTGTGAGTAGAGTGAAAAATTGTGACGGATTTGAAGGAAAATCAATGGAATTTGTGAGAAATGGGTGAAAATGAAGGGTTAGGATTTGAGTTTGTGAGGAGAGAGAAGAGAGCATGAAATAGGGCTTGCGAAAATATGAGGGCGAAATGGGGAAGAAGAGGTTAAAACCTGATTTTCCCAGCTCTGCGCGCCCGCACAGGAGATCTGCGCGCCCGCACAGTGGTCGCACACTAGATCGCGCAGACTCACTGCCTCAAATCTCCAATTCTGAGCAAAAGTGTGCGGGTTCTGACAGTACTTGCGCTTCCTTCATTTTCTCTCTTTTTTTTAGAACGGTTCATATGTGATCTGCACAGAACTATTATTTCCTCTATACTTGGCAGACGTGTGTTGGCAGAATTTGCTAGCAAAATCTGTATAAATATCTCTCTCTCTTATATTATTCCTCTTTTTTAGGGAGTGATCGATTTCTTCTAGTATATAATATGTTATTGGTAGCTGCCCTAGCTGAATCTGCTCCTTACGGCTCGTGTTCATGGTTCATGTGTAGATTTATAAGTTTTCGACTTACTTTTCCTCTGGTCCATCCGTTTTTTTTTATTTATTTATTATTTTTTATTTTTATTTTTATTTTTATTTTTACGATTAGTATGTTTTTCTTTTTTCCTTCACTCATTAAAGTCTTTCAGTTACATTTTCACTTGTTCTTAATTATCTTCTGATGAATTTTTCTAACATATCCACTGCTGATAATATTATTTAATCTTCTATTGATAGTTTGATACTACTTACTTTTTCTGAATAGACAAAGGAAACTAATGATTTTTGTTACAGGCAAATTCCCAATTTCCTGGGTCACATCCAGTGTCTCTCGACAGGTCCATATTCGTGCCACATCTTATTATACAATAAAGTTTCTTTCTTTAGTTAAAAAATTAAAATAGAAAGTTAAGGTGTAATTGTGCTATGCTAATTTGGATCGTGCTAATAAATTTTAGCACACGTGCAAACTTGGTGGATTTGCGGCCTTTTTGTTTTTAGTGATCAGCTTAGAGCCTTAGAGTGACTATAATTATAATGTGATACAGACCTGACAACCTCTTTCTAATCAGTTTCCATGCATCAGAGATTCCTTATACATTACTGAGCTCTTTGAACAAGGTCCTTGCAACATCTCTTGAAATAGATTTAGGGGCCGTTTGGTTGGGGTTAATAATCAAAGGGAATCGGAATGAACTGATATCATTCCCTTTGTTGTTGTTTGTTTGTCACTTTTTTGATTCCTTTTACCCATTTTTATTTTTGAGTTCACCCATTTTTAGTCTACATTGATTCCCCACCCCCCCTAGACTTTCCCATTCCCTTTCCCTAGCCACCATACCCACCACCGTTGTACTTGCCGGAACTAGCCCAACCACCTCGCCACGGACCTAGTCCCCATCGTCGGACTCGCCGCACTTCCCCCACAACTCGCCAGAGCCCGCGCACCTCCCCCACCTCTCCCCTCGAAAACACCTCCCCTCCCCGGAAAAACTTCCACTACCACGCAAAAACCCTAGAAAACACCATCCCTCCCCTTAAAAACGCCGGCCGACCTTCCCCCACCCTCGAAACCCTAGCGGCTAGGGTTTCGAGGGTGGGGGGAAGGTCGGCCGGCGTTTTTAAGGGGAGGGATGGTGTTTTCTAGGGTTTTTGCGTGGTGGTGGAAGTTTTTTCCGGGGAGGTTAGGGGCCGCGAGGGGTGGGGGAGGTGCGCCCAGGGCTGCCGATTTCCGTCGACGTTGTGGCTGGGCGGTAGGGTGGCTCCTGGTGGCTGGAAAAGTGAAGAAAGGGGATGTGTGGTGGTGGTGGTGATTCCCTTTGTTTATTGAAAACCAAACAACACAGTACTTGGAAAGGGTTTCATTCCATTCTCCTACATTCCCTTTGTTCATTCCATTCCGATTCCCCCGCGCGAACCAAACGGCCCTTTAGTGTTTGGTTTTCTCAATAGGTCGATTGACCACATTATCAAGGAAGGATAATGTAGCTTGAACTTTGAATTATGCAATGAGAGCAATTCATTATTTCATTGTAGATCCCACTATTTGGACTGGAGATTTCATCAGTATGGAAAATTTTCTGGTTGTAATTCATCTTCAAATAGTAATTATTTTTATCTAGAAAAGAATCCAGATATATTTAGGTCTTGGAAAATTTGTGACCATGGAATTTGATATGACGAGTTTAAGGGTTTTTGGGAGTCATGGGCTAATAAAGTCGACTTGCAGTGGATCACTCTGTCACTGATCTTCAGAGTCTGGTCCTGACATTAAATGCAAACAATTGTGGGATGAATATTTGGCCATTGTTTGTGGTAGGAATAAATAAAAACTCGGAACTGTAACATTCATGCTAGAAACACGGAAGTTGATTAGACAAAAGGCCAAACTAGATGATCTACTGTGAACCAAATATACAGGATGGATCATTGTGTGATTTTTTATTTTATTTTTAATGGGTTGAGAAGCAGATTGATCTTTGTTGATTGCATCTTCTCTGAGGGGTGTTACATCAGTGTATTGTCTTCTATCGTTCAATCTGTAAATGTCAGGGGTGGGATCTCACTGAAGTTCTCATATAATTCATAGTGGTCCAGGGTATTGTGCTGAAAAAGTTATCAACATATGTTAGCCTGCATATACTTGGCATGGTTATATTGTGAGCAGAGTGAGGACAATCAAAAGAAAAGGTTTCCACTTATACTATCTCTTGGCAGTTTTGTGATAAGTTTCAGCATATCAATTTTGGTTTGTGTTTGTGCTTAATAGGTCCTTTTATAACCCTTTTAAAATTTCAATTTTGTTTTATACTTACCTCCGTTTTTTATTAGTTGGCACGTATTCCTTTTTAGGATTTTTTTAGTTGACACGTTTCCTTTTTGGGTAAGTTTTATACCTTGTTTTTAAGTGTACCCCACTTGCTTTATCATTCTCTCTCATTCTATCTCCTCTCGTTAATATGTGTGCCTAAATTGAACGTGTCAACTAAATAGAAACGGAGGAAGTATGAAGTAAGCTAAATCTCTCATTCTAGTGGTTGCATTTCCTAGTGTTGTTTAGCTGATGAAAATTTACATTCCTTCATTAGACATGAAACTTGAGAACAGCTTTGAAATTTAGTAAACATAAAGAGAGTTGTAGAGGCATCCAAAAGGAACATTAAATATGTAAAGGGAAAACTATCTAAAAAGAACTTCTATAATATCTGTGAATAAATAATGCATAATTTGCTGTTTGTGTGGGCGCCAATTGATTCGGTATTAATTGAGTCCAATTGTTTCTTGGGATTCACTTATGGCAGACTGTTGTAGTGCATACTTTTTTGAAGGATCCAAATATTTCTTAACTACTTGGAGATTTTCATTTCTTTATCCATTGATATTGGATCGAAATATTGACCAACAAAACCTTGTAAAAAAACTCAAGGAAGTCTTTAATGTTAACCATCAAATCCTTCTTCCTGAAATTAGCTATAAAATGGACTGTTGATTTTTATGTGATAATAGTGGTCCCCAACAGAAAGGCCTTTTAGAACAAGATTTTTAGCCAGGAGTTTCTTATATAGTGAGCAAAGGACTGGTCCTTGTAATTTGTAAGCCACGAAAATAATAAAGTGTTTACGTTGTTGGTGCTTTGTCTCTTGCTTGTGTGCGTATATCTTTTGTTGTTCGAGTGTTAGGCTCGTCTAGACTTGGTCTAGGCGCCATCACGGGAACCTCCTAAGTTCGTAACTTAGAAAAAAAAAACTAGTCCACAAAATATCCCGTGACAATTTTGTCCGACCTGCCGAAAACGCAATTACTACTCTAAGCTACGCAACAAGATGAGACCTCCTCCCATTCTTCAGGAAAGCCAACATGGTCAGTAACAAATCTTACGCCTAGGAAGTTGACCTTTACGAGGGATATTCCCAAAGGTGTGTCGGTCGAACCTATAGCTGCGAAGCCTCTTCGTGCTATTGCTGGTGAGCCAAGCGGTTGTGTGCCTCCTCCAAGGACGAGCACCCCTCAGCCCACGAAGGAACTAGAAGACCTTCTAGACGAGGACCCCTTCTATACTAAGGTGATGACGTGCTTGGGAGACTTAGCAGGTGAGGTGTTGCATTCAAGTGAGCCGTGGTTGTCCCTTAGCAAACTAAAGTCCCTTGTGAAGGAAAACCGCGAAAAGCTTGGGTTCCTCGAGGATCTTTGGTCCTCTCGGTGGACCAGGTAAAAGCAGAGGAAATGTTCTCTATGGACGACCGTAAAGCGAAAGTCATGAAGAAATGGTGTAGTCAAGTGTGGGATGTTAGCAGCAACTTCATCTCACAAATTCCTTCCTCAAAGCTGGAGCTGGAGATGGCGTCTGTGACTAACTTTGTGCCTTGCAATGCTATTGTTTCTAATGCAGGTGGCTGGATTGAGGATCCACTGGTGCAGGTGAGCTAACAGGATGTTGTGCCGAAGGAAAGGTCCAAGAAACTGGCCAAGCATCTAACCTCATCAAGATTGTAACCGAATTGGTAGAGGTGGTCAATCTCGATGACTCCGATGATGAGGCGGTGGAAGATGCTCCGGCTAGGTCCGAGGGTTCTCCTAGATGGAGGGAATATTCCCCTTATCATCGCTGAAGCAGTATCCCTTCCAACTAGGAGAACCCCGGACCTGGCTGGCGCATCGTCCACCCCCTCATCATCGGAGTCATCGAGATTGACCACCTCTACCACTTCGGTTGCAATCTTGATGAGGTTAGATGCTTGGGCTAGTTTCTTGGACCTTTCCTTGGGCACAACATCCGGTTCGCTATGGATCCTTAATCTAACCACCTGCATTGGAAACAATAGCATTGCAAAGCACAAAGTTAGTCACAGACGCCACCTCCACCTTTGGGAAAGGAATTTGTGAGATGAAGTTGTTGCTAACATCCCACAATCGACTACATTATTTCTCCATGACTTTCGCTTGACGGTTGTCCATAGTGAACATTTCCCCTTCTTTCACCTAGTTCCACCGAGAGGACCAAGGATCCTCGAGGTTGAACCCAAGCTTATCGCGGTTTTCCTTCACAAGGGACTTTAGTTGGATAAGGGACAACCACGAGTCACTTGAATGCAACACCTCACCTGCTAAGTCCCTAAAGTACGTTATCACCTTAGCATATAAGGGGTCCTCGTCTAGAAAGTCTTCTAGTTCCTTCGTGGGCTGAGGGGTGCTCGTCCTCGGAGGAGGCACACAACCGCTCGGCTCACCAGCAATATCACGCAGAGGTTTTGCAGCTATAGGTTTGACCGACACACCTTTGGGAATATCCCTCGTGAAGGTCAACTTCCTAGCCGTAAGATTTGTTACTGACCATGTTGGCTTTCTTGAACGAGAGGGAGGAGGTCTCATCTTGTTGCGTAGCTTAGAGTAGTACTTGGCGCCTAGACCAAGAGGAATACCAAGTTTTGAAGCATCTTATTTCTATGTTATGTTGCTAAAACATAAGCTTATTATACAACAACAATTCTAAGTTGTGTTGCTTCTTATTAATTTTGTGTATAGGGTCAAGTTACAACTGCTGAGGCAGCGTTATTACTATGCTACATGGAAAGCTGATGGCACGAGATACATGATGCTTCTTTCTCCTGATGGGTGCTACCTAATTGATAGAAGGTTTAAATTTAGGAGAATGCAGATGAGACTCCCTTGCAGAAGTAGGACTAAAGTATGTGATTGAACCATGGAGAAATTTGGATGGAATAGAAACCTTGACCTTATGGCTAAATATAATTTAACTTGACCACTGTTTTATGATGTTGTGTCAATTTTATATTTACATGCTCGCCTAAAAAATACATTAGGGGCCAGGTATCCTTGATCTATAACTTAATATTCAATGGATATCTTAATTGATGAGTTGGTATTCATTATGATCTTGAATTGCTTTGGCATATCATTTAGCTAATTTCTTTTTCCCTTTGATGCAAGTCTGAATTTCATCAGTATACTTTGCTTGACGGTGAAATGATCATTGATTCTGTAAGCCCTCAAAAGCAAGAGAGAAGATATCTGATATATGACTTGATTGCACTCAATGGCGTGTCTCTCATAGAGGTTAGATCTTTAATGACCCTCGTCACAAGTTTGCTATGTTTTACCCTCTTGCCTGTTGATAATTTTTTATTGTTATCTACTGTGATGATTTTTTGCTAGTAAAACTAAGACATTTACAGCGGTATCTTTAACTAGTATTGATGACTCTCCATTTTAGATTTGCTGCACCAGCTCCACCAAGCTTGAAATTTATTTTCATTTTGGGTATCTTCATGACAGGTCACAAAGAAAAGGATTGTGTTAGTTTCTTATTCCTTGAGATTATTTCTACTACAAAGCTAAATATTGAACTGTGGGCAATTTTTTTAACAGCAAAGATGAGATACATATTTAATGTTCCGTGCAACAGAAATGAGGCGTGCCTTCAGCTTTAATCTGCTCCCTTTTGGTTGTCGATTATACACTTTTTACTTCTTGCTACATACCATTCTTATTTGATTATGTAATTATTACCCCCCCCCCTCCTCCCTCCCTCTCAAAATTGGGACTATTCTCTACATTGTTTTGGGTGGTTAGTTATAAAAGAGTACCCAATGTTGATCTAAGATTTCAAATACTTTAAATGAATATTTATATGTAAATCTGTATTTGCAAGTTCCTTCCATGGTTCTGATCAGTGTATATTTGCAGAGACCCTTCTCTGAGCGTTGGATGATGATTGAGAAAGAGATAATTGAACCCCGGAATCAAGATCGGAAACAGATGTTAGAATCACATTCCAAACCTTCTTACAGATATGACTTAGAGCCGTTTCGGGTATGTAGCAAAGTTCAGTTTTTAGATACTGCTGTCTGATAATATAGTACTTCGTATATTATTATTAGAAAGTTTTGACAAGTACCTTTGGACATTTGGAATTTATATTTTGAAAATTTATATTACAACCTAGGAAGTTTTTGTGACCTTTATTTTGCCTTTTCTGTAGTTAATGGTACCTGATTAAATGTTTCCCAGGTTAGGAGGAAGGACTTTTGGTTGCTGTCAACTGTTAGAAAGCTTTTGAATGAATTCATTCCTAACCTTTCACATGAAGCTGATGGTCTTATATTTCAGGTGCTTGTAGCTTGATAGTAATTTTATACTGTCACAACTGTTCTCTGTATTGCCTAACGCTTGTCTTTAGATTGGTTTTTACTGTATACCAAAAGAGTTTCTCACTAGGGGTTTTGAATGTTCTACAATAATGATTTGTTGACTTTTCATCCCCTTTAGAATAAATAATATCTAAGTAATTGTGTATGAAACAAAACAATACATAGGGGAAGAAGGAAGTGCGGTCTCTAAATAACAGAGTTCTAGTCTTTTTTCGCTTCTAATGCAATATTAACATTACTTTTCCACAAAGAATTGCTGTTAGTTATCTGATCTCTTAAAGTAAAATCACAAATTTACTGTTCTTATTATCATATGCCCCTTCTTTCTTCTGGAGCTAATAAATGTTAGGATTCAAGCGCTTCTCACTGTTATTAGGACAGGCAACACACCATGATCACACTATTAATCTGGTCTAATTAGACTCATGAGGGGAACTTGTAAATGAAGCTGATACAAGAATACTCAAGAGATCAGCTAGCTGACCCAACTCCTTAAGCATATTTAACTTGCCAGAATTCTGAAGGCACATGATATTCACAAGGAAAATAAGCTTATTAGGTTGGTCAATCATTTAGATAATTATTTGTGTTAAGTTTTACACAAAGATCTTAAATATATTGGAACCTAGGTAGAACCTATCAATGGAACATGTGTCAGTGACCAATACACAGAATAACAACTTTGGTAGTAGCAGATATCTGGTTTCTATATGGACTTTGCATCTCAGCTGCATATGATTCACTGTATCTTAGAAATTCTAAATTTTTGTCAAGACTTCTATGTTAAATTTTGATCTGAATTAATTCAAACATTCAATCTGAATTTGTCTTTCCATCTCATGTTTGATGGTGCTTCCTGCTTTTTATAAGGCATAAAATTTCTAGTACTCTTTTTATGGAAGGTTTAACCACGCACTCTGTTGTTGTTTTTTTCTTTTTTACTCAACTAGGGTTGGGATGATCCCTACATTCCGAAAACGCATGAAGGCCTCCTAAAGTGGAAATTCCCTGAAATGAACTCAGTTGATTTTCTGTTTGAGGTGTTTCCCTTATAATTGAGTTCATAATGTGTATCTTCTCAATTAAATATTCAAATTAGTCTGTGGCATATACAAAGGTATTTCTTCTTTTTGTTGACACATGGCAGATTGGAGAATTCGGTTCTGAGGATCTTTATTTGTATGACAAGGGAAAGAAGCGATTGATGGAAGGCAATAGGGTTACTTTTTCCAGTGAACTACTATCTCTCTCTTTATTGTTTTCTTCTTTCAGTTTCCCTCTTCACCTATACAATTAATATTATCAGAATTTTGTTGCAAAATTTTTGAGAAATGCCTAGTGATGCAAGATGTGGTTGGAGTGTACTGATCTCATCTTTTGTAATAAGGCTAATGGGTATGAAATTGTGTGTGGCTCATTTAGTTTCTTTGCTGTCTGTGGTAAATGGTGCTTTTCCTATTTTGTTTTGTTTTATTAAGGAAGATGCATCTTATTCCTGTCTGCATATACGGAATTGCACCTATCCTCTGATTTCTATGTATTCCTTTTGTTTTATATATATATATATATTTTATTTTTTTTTATTTTTTTTGAAACCTATAAAAACTTTGTTCATTCTTTCTGTCTTGCTATGAAAGTGCTAGTTTCTGTTTTTTTATGTCTCAAAAACAATTTGTTAATTTGATGCACATCACTCATAATTCAATATCTGCTCTCCCAAATTATTAGTAATATTATTATTTGGGGATGACTGTATCAAAGCGTTGTTTTAGGGTAAATTGTCGTTTTGATGGATTGGATGAGCATATACATGATAATATGCAGGGTTATTTTCATGACAAAAGATAAGAAAACCATAGTGATAATATGAATACATTTGTAAAGTTCAGAAAAGGGTTTTATGGTGATCACAGTTGGGGTATTAGAGCAAATTATATTGGTATTTAGGATTGTTGGCAACCTAATCGATATTTTTATTGTTGGGTCTATCTGTATCAGGCTGCTGGCAGCCTGGCATATGTTAAAACTCTCGTATGCCCACTCCTATATCCTGATGCTTGTTCAATTTTAATACCTTACAGATGGTTCTGATTCTTCTTCATATTCTGGTAAGATTATCGAGTGCTCTTGGGATATAAGGCAAAATGTGTGGGTTTACATGCGAACAAGGACTGATAAGTTAACTCCAAACGAATTTAGTACCTACAAGAAGGTTTACCCTTGACAATTGACTTCTCACTCTATAATTATGTAATGGTTGATATTTACTTCTTTCCAATATAGCATGTCAAGAGTTATGATCTTTACTGCATTCTGCAGGTTATGCGGAGCATACATGACAACATAACCCAGGATGTATTATTGAATGAGATTGGTGAGATCATTCGCTTGCCTATGTATGCTAATCGGATCAAGAATGATACTATAGCTCAGAAGAAAGCAAAAGTACGGCCACAAGGAAAGATCTAAGGTGAAGTGGACTATCCTGTTGCAATTCATGTCAGTTAGGGCTTGCTGCTTGGGGCTCTTGCCTGTGTATCTAGACTTTTGATAATGAATATTTCAATTATATTCTTGGAGGTTTTCTGAATCTTTATAGGTAGGAAAGTAAATGATATGTTGGATGTGTATATTTCATATGCTATATTTCTGTTTCGTTTCAGATTCTTAATACACAGTATGAACTTAGTTGAGCTTTAAGATTAACAAGCTTTGTACTGTAAGATCCCTGAAGAGCATAAGTATCTGAATGGGTTAATCGATGTTTATATGCATGGTTGATAGTTTCATCATCAATCCATTCCTAGACACCACAATAATAATCGTATCATAGTATCATGTTATGCCACAGGACCAACCCGTCCAAATATCATCTTCATCGGAGGAAATTTATTACAAAGTGATTAATTAATACGGAGTATAGTGCTGCATCTAACAATCCCAAGTCCTAACTCTATGAATCATTATGTGTTTAAGTTCGTTCATTATGAGTTTTGGGTAACCCAATTCTCTCTGTCAAATACTCCGTATTTCAATTTCTTCCGTCCTTTTTTTGTTTGCGTCATATTCTTTTCCTTGAGATTGTGTTATGTCTCTTTTGCCTTATTTAATACTCCTTCTGTCCTTTTATGTTTGCCCCAATTTTCTTTTTAAGTTGTCCCTTAAACATTACTCCATATTATATGGACTACCACTTTACTCTCACAAAATACTTTAGATTCAACCACTTTTTCTCTTTCATCAATTTCACTCAATCAAAATTTAAAATGAAATATTTTTATGGGGTAAACAATTAGAAACGGAAGGAGTACGAATTACGAAATGAAACTTTCTTCTTGTAATCGAACTTGCTCTCTTCCCCTCCCTTGTTATATCTACCACGAATCACAACCTATTGTGCACAATTTTATTTCCCTTCTTGATAAAGTGAAGTTTGCTCAAAGGAGCGGAGATAGTACATTACAATTTACGACTGTACATATGCAAGTCTATCATTTCACACGTTATAAATTGTAAGGATATAGAGGCAAACAACTGAGGCAGGGCAAAGGGGAAAGGGCCCAAAACCTAGCAAATGAACATATTCAACATAGTCACAAATTATATGATTGTTTTAGAGGAGTAAAGAGTTACAGCTGTGTGAACGAAGTATAAGACTATAAGCTTAAGATTCCCAAAATGGTGCAATTTATGACACACACTCACAAGTCACAAGCACACTGTCGTCCACCTCTTCTGCTAATTTTACTGTATACTTTGATTGTTGTACGTACACCTCCTTTCATACCCAATATTGACTTTATGTGTTACTTCCTCTATTCCTATTTTTTTTTTCCATTTGGCTGTGTACGGTTTTCAAGACGTGTCTTAAAATATTTATAATTTTATTTTCATACACGTGAAATTATAAATTATGATATTAATAAAATATACAATGAGACGAATCTAACAAGACAATGCATGACTATATTATCTTTTATAAATTAACGATAATTTATGATCAAAGTTTTTAAAGTTTGACCTAAAAAATGGTAATGGGGCAAAAATAAAGGAACAGATGGAGTATTATCCAAATACTCCCTCCGTTTTTAAATACTTGCTCCATTTCTCCATTTATGGAGTTTTAAGAGAAATTGAAAAAAATAATAAAATATAAAGGTAGTGGGTAGAGAGAAGAATAAAAAATTGTAAGAAAACAAAAGTAGTAGAGAGAATATGAAATTAATACGAGTAAAATATAATTTATGTTGAGTCCACTAAATAGGAAAAATGAATTAAATATTGTAAAAGATATTCAAATAAGAAAATGAAACAAAAATTTAAAAACGACTAAAAAATAAAAGTAGAGCAAGTATTTAAAAAGGAGAGAGTAATAGAAACAAACTTACCATTTAAGTTAAAATTTAAACGAACCCCAATAAGATAGAAAGAGAGTAAGAGACAATATGTTTGTCTTTCTTTTTGTCAGTCCTTTCCCCCCTTATTTTCTGCTTCCTTTTTTATTTACTTTACTTAACCCTTTTTACACACTACCCCTTTTTCTTCACAATTTGGGTTTGGGTTTTTATTATTGGGCTTCTTCACCGTAATTGAATGGCCTTATAACCATCTTACTTTCTATAATTACATTCTTAAGACTTTCAACGTAGGAGGGCGTTTGGTATGAATATTGAACACGGAGTAGAAATAAAATAAACAAGGAGAAGGAAGTAAATTATTTAACTATGATCTTATTTGTTTGGTATAGACATGAAAATAAATTACATGTTTAATAAAAAAAAAAAAATTACCTAAACGTTAACTCTCCTTATTTTTGTTTGAAGAGGGGTAAGAGTATTTGTTACTTTAACTTTTAGAGAGGTGATAAATGAGTAGAAATCATTACTCTTAGATAATTATAATTGTTAACCAAGCCTTCTAACCAAACACTTGATAACATTAATGGTTTAATTGAATTCGATTCCAACCATAAAAATATTTTTACCAAACATGCGCTAAGTGTTTATGTATTTTTTGGGTGAAAACTTATGGAGTAAGTGTGTACTCGCACTTTTATAAATGGCATCGCAAACTATGGAGTTGGCTGTATATGAAACTTTTTATATACACCCAAGTTGCACTCAACTTATTTAGAGGTTAGTTTTTGCTTTTCATCTAGTGATCAAATAAAAAAAGAAGTTTGATAGTGGATGAAGCCGATATTTTGCATACTTGATAGTGGATTTGTCTCGCTGTATATATTATTAATATCAAGTTTTTATAAATTTTATGTGTACGTAAATAGAGATAAATACGCTTTTAAACATATATTGGAGACCGTTAAAAATCAAATAGTGCAAAAAAAAAAAAAAAAAAAAAAAACCTTTTTTACAAAGAGAGAGAAGGCTATAGCTATTAGCTAATAGGATAGGTAGGACTTATAGGATTATAGTCTATATGTAAGAGCCTAAGAGGACTATGAGGCTATGATAAGTTGATTAAAGTTACGAGTATTAAAGAAAATCCACTAAATCACAGTCCTACTTAGCACTTGCCTTTACTACTCCCTCCAAATATCCATCACTACTCTCTCTCTCTCCATATCATAATTTCTTAATCACAATACCACTTTCCACTCACTCTTGAAAATGCTACCACCTTCACACCTCCTCTCCTTCCTCCTCCTCCTCTCCCTCCTCCACCACTCCTCCGCCCTCTCCACCACCCACCCCCGCCGTCTCCTCCACCACCCTTTCATCCCTTCCACCACAACCCCCACCCTCCCCCCTTCTCCTTCTCCTTCCCCTTCCACTCACCTCACTCACCCTTTCTCCACCTCCCTCCCTTCCCCCTCCTCCACCACTACACCCTCCTCCGACGACAACAACAACCCATTCTTCCCTTCTTACTCCACCCCACCACCCCCCTCCCAACCACCACCTTCCACCACCGCACTCCCCACTTTCCCCGCCAACATCTCCTCCCTCGCTCTCCCTTCCACCTCCTCCCCTCATCACTCCCACCACTTCTCCCCTAAACTCACCCTCTTCATCATCCTCCTCTCTCTCCTCACTCTCTCCCTCTTCATCTCCCTCTCTCTCCTCCTCCTCCGCCGCCACCGCCACCACCATGACCACCTCCATACCCCCCTGAGAAACCCCTTTCTCCTCTCCCACCCCTCAAGATACCCGCTACTAATCCTAACTCATACACCCAGTCCCACACTAGCACCGACTTTCTCTACGTCGGTAACGCCATTACCAACTCCCGCGACTTCCAAACTAACCAAACCTCCACCTCTTCCGCCCCCATTGAAGTCCTCCCTTCCTCAACCTCTGAAATCTACCTTAAACTCTGCAGCGACTCCCCTGAACTCCGCCCTCTTCCCCCTCTTCCCAAGCAAAACTCCCAACAACAACACCATCAACCCACCACCAAGAACAACAACATCAAACTAGCAACAGAGGATGAAGAATTCTACTCCCCGAGAACCGACGAGGATAATACCTACGGCTTGAATTTCTCTCCTGCAAGATCTTACTCTGACTCATTAGAGTCGGATTCTGACGTTTCTGTTGAGATACAGACTTTAGCGGCGAGAACTTCCCAATTTCCGGCGAATGGTAAGATGGGTCCACCTGCTCCGCCGCCGCCTCCGCCGTCTGGGGTTGGACCGCCGCCGCTAGTGCCGCCTTCTGGGCCGGTGGTGTTTAAGAGTAGTGGGAATTTAGGAGAGAGAAAGAGTGGAGAGAGAAAAGAGGAAAATGGGAAGCCTAAATTGAAGGCATTACATTGGGATAAAGTTAGGGCTACTTCTGATCGTGCTACGGTTTGGGATCAGTTTAAACCTGGCTCTTTTCAGTAAGATTTTCATTCATTTCTTTACATTTTCAGCTTAATTAATCGTATTATTATGCTAAATTATTCTTTCTTCATTTTGTAGTTTGCTATTGTTGGTTAGTACCTTGATTTTGATTCAGGTTTAATTTCCAGTTTCCATTAATAAAATATTCGGACTAAATCCCGTCTTCATCATTGTCCTTTGTAGTTCGCTATACGCCCAAAAGATAATCTTTGTAGGGTAATTTGTTTGGTTTCGGGTCGGTTTTCGGGCTGATTAAACTACTTGGTTGTATAGAGATATTCTGGGTGTTCGAGTTTTTGGATATTATTTGGTTTTTAGGCATGAAATTTGTGTGCAAATACCAAGTTATTCGGATTGGTTTGGAATTATGTAGGGAATAAGTCAATTTGTCAGTCATTGTCTTGCTTTAATTTAAGCTATACTAATACTAATATTGTGATATTTGTGAGTATTTTATACTATGAGTGATACTCTTTGAGCATTGAATTGCCAAATTTTACATATTCCAAGATATTGGACAAAGATTTTGCATGAGCTACTAGGACGTGTACGTTCAGTTCATATTCAACCTGTTTGTAAAATTAAGCTAATAAGCGTACAGATCGATTAAACCATAATCAGTTACCGGCTAGGTTGATTTCGACTTATGCATATCTCGATTGAGCGAACGAAGTAATGAACTCAAGTTTGTGTGTTGTAGATTGAACGAAGAAATGATAGAGACATTGTTTAAAGCAAATGGTCCTGGTATAGCTACAAAAGATGGCCCACGTAGATCAATACTGCCTTTGATGGATGAAGAGTATCGAGTACTTGATCCTAAGAAATCTCAAAACATAGCCATTCTATTGAAGGCTCTCAATGTCACAGAAGGGGAGGTTTGTGAAGCACTTTTGGAAGGTATAGTAATTAGC